AATTCATCTCCAAGATTTAGTAGTAGGCCTACCTAAATAATAAAATACCACTTATTAAAAGTAACTTTAACAACACAAAGTTCTTAAACTCTGTAGTAAATGCTGTAGAGAAAAAAGCGTCATGACTATGAATGACAGCGAGTGCGTACTGTCTATTTTCGTGCCTGTCTGCAATCGGCATTCGTCCTAGTTTGTCTCCTTTGATCCGTGACGGGAGACCGCCAAAAAAGCGAGTGCACTCAAACACGAATGTTGGCTGTAATGAGAGTAAGAATGAATGAAAAGAACTTTTATTACCTTTAGAAAGGTTTTTAATAACTTGAACAATACTACATTGAATTATAATGGACTTGTTTACAAACACAACAAAACAATAATAAAGAATTGAAGACACATGTTTTTTTACTACATTCTTCCTCCCTAATGTTAATGAACGTAGTCATTTAAATAATTAGGAGGTCTTCTGCTTCTGAAACTTCTTCTCGGATATGTGTTATGGTTCTCTCCTCTAGAAGCTTCTTGTCTAGGTTGTAAATTCTCGGCAGTAGTATTCATTTCATCTTCTTGGTTCTGTGTTGATGATGGACTAGGAAAGTATTCAGGTTCAGGTTGAGAAGTGGGTAATAGAATATTTTCATCACTCTCAAAATCGGTTTGCTCTATGTCGGTTTGGTACTCACCAACCGGAGCAAGATGACGTGTAGACACGGTAGTTTCTCTTCCGTCAGGCAACTTAACATGAGCATACTCGGCATTCCCGTGAAGAAGTTGGACCTCTTCAACAAGTGGCTCATACTTGGACGTACGATTGAATCTCTTCAAGTAGACAGGGCCGGAATTGAGAAGCCATGAAGGAGCTGAAACACCATTGTTCCCAGATCTACGTGGATGTAAGAACATACGCTCGTGAGGAGTTTGATTTGTGGCCGTGCAAAGTAATGATCTCACTGAGCTGAGGGCATCCTCTAAAACTGTCTCCCATTGGCTTATTTCTAAGTTAAGTGATTTCAACGCCAGTTCAATTGTTTTCCATAGAATGCCGTTATACCTTTCAACTTGCCCATTACCTGCTGGATTGTACGCAGTGGTTCTACTAGTTGAGATTCCAAGTGAGTTCAAGTAGCTTTTTAAGTCTTGGCTCAGAAATGATGTTCCTCTGTCCGAATGTATGTAACTAGGAACCCCAAAAGTAGAAAATAATGTTTTTAGTTTCGACTTAACTGTTGACGATGACATGTCTGAACAAGGGAAAGCGAAAGGGAACCGTGAAAACTCGTCTACTATTACTAATAAGTAACGGTTTCGACTTGATGAAGGCAGCGGGCCTTTGAAATCGATATTCAGCCGTTCAAATGCAGAAGTGGCTTTAATCAAAATCCCTTTGTGTTTGAAGAATCTAGGCTTCACAGCAGCACACACATTGCAGGAGTTTGTTATTCGTCTGATTTCATCAATCGAGTAGAGCAAGTTTTTACTTCGAACCCAGTGTTACAAACGTGTCACACCTGGATGACATAGATTCGCATGTAAATCAATCAACAGTTTTTCTTGATTTTGGATTGAAGAACATACTCTAGTCAGGGCATCTGCAGCCATATTATCTTTACCGGGTCTATATACAATATCATAATGAAAGCACGACAATTCCAGTTTCCACCTCATTATCTTTTCATTTTTCACTTTGCCATGACGGTTGTTATCGAACATAAAAGAAACCGACCTCTGGTCAGTAATCAGCTTGAAATGTTTACCAACCAAATAGTGACGCCATTTCCGCAGTGCTTCCACAATAGCTTGTGCTTCTTTTTCAACACTTGAATGTCTTTGTTCTGCTGGAGAAAGTATCCTTGAGAAGAATGCGACTGGACGGTTCGATTGAGTCAAAGTAGCAGCAATGGTACTCTCAGATGCATCAGTTTCTACAATGAACTGTGCTTCAGGGTCAATGCAGCTTACTACAGATCCGATGATTTCACTTTTTATAGTTTCGAAAGACTGGAGCCCTGCTTTGGACAAAGGGAATGTAGTACGCGCAAGTGGAATCACTTTGGTAGCATAATCTGGTATAAGTGATGCATAATGTGAAAACATACCAAGGGTCCTCCTCAGTGATGCGGTGTCTCTGGGTGGAGGTAAATTTTTCAAAGGATCTAGGCGACTGGGGTCAGGCTTGATAGTTTTGTTTGATATATGATAGCCCAACAAGTTGATCGATCGCAGTGAAAATGAAGACTTCTCATTATTAATAGTTAGGTTGTATTTGGATGCAGCTTCGATAAATTTTTTTAAGTTTATATCGTGTTGTTCTTGTGTTTTTCCACAGATTGTGACATCATCAAGATAGGCGTAAGTGTCTTGTAACTGTTCTGTTCGGATGACTTGGTCAATTACACGTTGGAATGCTGCCACCCCATTAGTGACCCCAAACGGGATACGCTTAAACTGGTAGAGTTGACCACAGGCCTCAAAAGCTGTGTAGTGCTTTTCTTCATTTCTTATCTTTACTTGGTGGTACGCACTTTTCAAGTCGATAGTACTGAAAAACTCATAATTTGCAACTTTGTTAACGATATCATCGATTCTAGGTAGTGGGTAAGCGTCCAGTAATGTAAAACGATTTATAGTCCTGGAGTAGTCAATGACCATTCTTTTTCTATGATTTTCAGTAGTAACTACTAATGCTTGAGCCCTCCATGGAGACATACTAGGCTCTATAACATCGTCTTTAAGCAATTTACTTACTTCGTTTTCAATAAACTTTAAATCATCGGTGCTATGGCGATGATACTTGATTGCGATTGGCTTACATTCCGGTTTTAAATTAGAAAACAAAGATACCGGTTCTACAGTTGAGGCTGCCACGCTACATACGGTTAGTTGTGACTTGTTGCCACCAAAGACTACTTTAATACTTGCATGGTTTTTCAAAATATCATGTCCAACAATTATATCTGCACAAAGATCTGGTAACAATGAAAGATTAACTTGCTTGTAAAAGTGATCAAGAATGACAAGATTTACTTTGCAGTGACCTGTTATGTTGGATGTGATTGATGTAGTAGCCATTGAAACAGTACCCCTACCTGGTTTTATAGGAATGCCTAAATTAAGAGAAGTAGATTTGTTTATAAAACTTAGAGAGCTTCCCGTATCTATCAAAGCAGAGACAGATTTACCATTAACTAGGGCTTGTACTGTACTCTTTGTTAACCCACCGGGCGAAGCTGCTAGGTCAATAGAGTTCATTACTTCTTTAGATTTATCCAATTGCTTGGTTTGTAGTTTACCTGCCCTGCAGACCTTAGCAAAATGCCCCTGTTTACCACAGTTATGACAAATTGTATTTTTAGCTGGACATTTGACCCTAGGATGTCTTAGATTACCGCAAAAGAAACATTTTTCAGTCACAGCAGCTAGAGAACACTTTTCTAAACTGCTTGAAGTTGCATCAACATTCTGATTGCTCGCTTGAGTTTCTTGGGACGAAGTTGCATTTACTATAGATTGGAAAGATTGAAAAGCTAAAGATTGCTCATGTGCAAGTTCTAGGGATCTGGCTTGACTATATGCTTGATCTAGTGTCAACGAAACATTTTCTAGTAAGCGCTGGCGAATTGCAGAAGATTTTATTCCTGCAATAAATGTGTCACGGATATAATCATCCTTATTCTTTTCTGCTGTGACAGCTTTAAACTGACAGTCTTTACTTAGTAATTTTAAAGCCTGGAGATATTGGTCAATAGTCTCCTCAGGTTGCTGCTGACGTGCAGATAGTTTATGTCTGGAATATACTTCATTTACAGGTTTTACATAGATACTTCTTAGCACAGATATAGCATCGTTATACGTACCGCTTTCACTTATGTACTCGTTGATTTCTGGAGTAATAAAGTTTATAAGTATTTTGAGTTTATCGGAGTCGGATGGTTGTGGTGTGATGCTGGTAACAAAATTCTGAAATGTTTTGTGCCAATGTGTCCATTCCTTACTTGCAGATGATGAGCTTTGATCTACACTAAACTTGTCTGGCTTTAGGATCTTATCCATTTCACAATATCAAGTTATTAAAATTGTAATGAGAGTAAGAATGAATGAAAAGAACTTTTATTACCTTTAGAAAGGTTTTTAATAACTTGAACAATACTACATTGAATTATAATGGACTTGTTTACAAACACAACAAAACAATAATAAAGAATTGAAGACACATGTTTTTTTACTACATTGGCAATGCGAACTACCCCAAATGTACAAAAGCAAATCGAGTACCTACACTATCCCGCTCGTCTTAGTTAGCCCAAATTCGGCGATAGTGTACTGCTGGCATTACAATTAAGCTACAAATCAATTAGAATTTGTAAATACCGTAGTCTACGTTTCAAAATATAGTTGATGGTAAAACTTAGGCTGGTGATAAATTATGTACCTACCTAAGCCTAACCAATTAGAATCTCAACGTAAATGGACAGTAAAGTTGTTCACAATGCATAACCGGAACTCGTATACAGTAGGACCTCGATATCTTGATTCTAAAGTGGTTGTACATGATAACAATTTGAGTTAGAACTAACTTAGGCTGTATCGATTTTATCGAGTAAGCAAGGCTTGAATTATAAAGATGCTGTACCGAAAATCATTATAAGTAGGGTACCTGGGGAAGAAAATAAATTAAATCTACTATGCTTACAAATGGCATAGTATGGTATAGTGTATATACACCAACTTAGGTAGGTACTGAATATAATTTTCTTGCAAAATCCATGTTTCTATCTCGACACTGTTTTAACTAATGTGTTTAAGTTAAACTAGGCCTACATTATTCCACAACTTTTAACTCATCTTTCTTGTACCTTTTTCTTATGGATTAATCCACCTTCAGCTTCATACTTTCCCAGTTGTTTTTCAAAATCCTTAATAAATAAAGTGTTTACATAAACGGAATTCCGAATTAACTGTTTATTATAATATGTACATGTAAGTTAACAGTCTTATGATTTCAGGTTTTCATGGCTTGGACGGAACTGAATGTACAAAATGAATGGTGTTTAATCTTAACTGTGGAAAGAAGGAACTATTTCTGTCAAAACCTTGAAGCTAAAAAAGCCAATGACGCTTACTCTGTGAAATTAAGGTAGGCCAACAAACATATTGCATTATTTTTTCATCTGAGGTTGTATAAAAAACCTGTAGATTCAGTGAATTTCCAAATGCATGAAAATGTCAGATTTATTCCCTTTTTAAAAATGAAATTAGGTTTAACGAGAGCTTAGGTTTGTTGCTACGGGCAAAAAAAATTAAGTGTTTTTCTTACACAGGAGTCAGTTGAAACTAAATTCAAAACCTCAATTTGTTTGCATTTTAAGTTGGGCTTTTTCCAGGCAGGCAAAACAGTTATACACATAACCACCGAAAACAAAATATCTGTCAGGTAAAAAGGCAAACCAAATGCCTCACAAATGTTATGTGGACATGTATCATTTTTACTCTTTATTTGATATCTGACGATAAATAACATAGCAGCTTTAAAAATCGTTGAACTATTTTAACCCTGAACAAAAATTTAAAACTACTTTCCACACTGGTTAAAAGTGGGTAAATACTGCCTCACCATTGTACACTTTACACCGCTTGACATTTTCATTCACAACAGCGCTCTTGTCTATGAAATGCTGACAAATAAGGGCACTAATGCATTACCAACAGACAAAGGCCTACAAACACACCAAATACAAGACAGAATTGAGTTAGGAAATTTACTACTCTAACCAAAGCAATGTGGGGAGCGAGCTGGCGTAGTGGTGAGAGCGCGGGACCTCAGTGCCTGAGGTCCCGTGTTTGATCCCCGCCAAGTCACCAATGGATTTTATCAAAGTGATAATGCCGCAACCCCTAGGTCTAGCCTGAAGTAATGTGAAAAAAAATTGTTATAAAATTATGGTGTTATAAAATTGTATTGTTTTGTACTTACTTATCGACTTGTAATGCAGTTAATATGCCGTTAAATTTATATTTGCTCGATTCTAAAGATCTTCTGAAATGGTTTTAAAGTGACTGTTAATTAAGTTTTAAGGCAATTTTGATAAAAAGTTGAGGTCAAGAACTAGCCCACACAGGCTATGAACTATTATGTAAACAACGTAAAGCAAAAACAATTCATAAGTTGATTGCTCAAAAAATGTTTCACTCAAAGGCATTAATTGTTTTCATGGCATAAACTACTAACATTTGGAACCCAGACAGAACATTTGATGACAAAATAGATCTACACATATTGTAATTATTATATCTACGGCCGTTTTTTAAAGTAGCCGTTTCAGTTCAGTTCTTCGAATTGAAAAGTTTCACATAACAATTGTTTACTTTCATAACAGTATAGTTTTACTCATAACATACTGAAACTCATTTTACTCATTTTACTCATACTGAAATCATAAGACTGTTAACTTACATGTACATATTATAATAAACAGTTAATTCGGAATTCCGTTTATGTAAACACTTTATTTATTAAGGATTTTGAAAAACAACTGGGAAAGTATGAAGCTGAAGGTGGATTAATCCATAAGAAAAAGGTACAAGAAAGATGAGTTAAAAGTTGTGGAATAATGTAGGCCTAGTTTAACTTAAACACATTAGTTAAAACAGTGTCGAGATAGAAACATGGATTTTGCAAGAAAATTATATTCAGTACCTACCTAAGTTGGTGTATATACACTATACCATACTATGCCATTTGTAAGCATAGTAGATTTAATTTATTTTCTTCCCCAGGTACCCTACTTATAATGATTTTCGGTACAGCATCTTTATAATTCAAGCCTTGCTTACTCGATAAAATCGATACAGCCTAAGTTAGTTCTAACTCAAATTGTTATCATGTACAACCACTTTAGAATCAAGATATCGAGGTCCTACTGTATACGAGTTCCGGCCGCGGCGTTTGGTCGGGCAATCTTATTTTTCCTTAAAATCGTACAGCCTATATCCCTAAGGGATATAATTGCCCCGCGATTGGAAGTTAGTATCAGTGTCATTGTCAGAAAGTGAAAAAGTTCGTTACCGGCCAACGCAGTTCCGCCATTTGAAAATTACACGTTCGTTTCACGAGTTCAATTGATCGCGTCTTGTAGAATACCGGCTAGTTACATTTCCCAATCCCTTCCCCTTTATTTGTGTCATATTTGTGGACGTCCAAACTGTAAGTAATTTGTGTTATTTATTTGTTAATTTAAGATTTCAGTGAGTCGCACCTTTGAAAATTTTTCCTGTCTTGTTTTGTCATTTCATGTAGAGTAAGCACATGTTCACAAGTTCAAATTCAAATCACTGATTTTCACATCCATTCATATTGTAGCAATCCGCTTTATTAATTAGATTGTAACAACCCTATAGTATTAAGAATAAATAGGTAAAAATGTTTTTATAGGGCAATTCAGAGTTATTTAATAAGATTTTTATAGTGTTGGAATTTTACACAGAGTCATTGTTAATTTTCATTGTTGAGCAAATGGTACAATTCTTTTAAAGAGTGTCACAGTCAGTATCTTTTGGGGGAAACAAATTATTATCAGAGAAGGGAGCAGGTAGCTGGTTCGATTGATACGGAAGTGTTGTTGGAAGTTGTGCCAGTTTGAACATAGATGAACCACCAAAGTGCCAAATTAGCTATAAAATAATAAAGCAACATTCTGATAAACATTACTACGATTGAATACAATATTGTTCAATCAGTTGGACTGCGAGACGACCTTCGTTTTTAATCGTTGGCCAACGAAAGGATTTGCTTGGTACAGGTCATCTCAACCATTAGATTAAATACCACTCTTCCATTGATACTTTCGAGATCGGTGTGAAACCGCACCATACCTCCCCTTTGATAAATCCATTCAACAGTTTCAATAAATTTCCAACTGATTGTGTATCTCAAGGTCATTTTTACTTGAAAGAACATAACAACGACTGTAAACTGAAAAAGTGTATTATTAAATTCTGTGCAATAAACTCCAATTGTTACTCACTTTTAGTTCTCAATAACCTTGGTATTCTAGTATATGAAATAGTATTTAATTGATAAACAAAAGGTAATTCAGTAAATCATAAGCCACTACAAAAGATTCACCTTTTAAGTGCAACACTAGTCACTAGTGTAGTAGTGAGCAAGTAAATTCAGTGTAGAATTAAGACTGGTAAATTGATCTCATTAAAGGTATTACTTTATTGGAGGAACTACAAACAGTGCCAGGGGCGTCCCCTAAGGACCTTTGGGGAATATTTATATTTTGCAGGGTCCACTCATATTTTTCAATAACATCAAGCTTCCACTGCCAAAAAGCTCTGTCTGATATTTTTATTTTCTAGAGTTCTTCCAACCTAGGGGCAACCAACATTTGTAAAGAATTCATTAAAGAGCATTGCAAGGAGTAAATATATTTAAATATAATATTTAAATATATGAGAGTCAAAGTCTGAGTTTTTTTTCTTTACACATAACAGTATAGTTTTACTCATAACAACACGGGTAACGGACCAATGAGATTAAAAGGTTGAGAGAGAAGATGTAAAATTTTAATGATTCGAACTTCAACTTCAATCAGCTGTTCACGCCAATTTAATTGTTGAGTGGTGCAATTAGTGTATGGTACAATGTTTTGTTGCATATCACTGTGGGTGGCAAGTCATTAACAAAAACATAAGTTAATCTCTCTTAGAAGTTATGAATTTTTTTGGGGGTAATTAAAACACTGTCCTAGATAATGGAGCTAAATCAATAAATAGAGTTACCTTCGTCAATCAGCTCATAGTATAACATTGTTACGGCCGTTTCAGCATCTTCGTGCCATCATCAGACGTTCAGCCTTAGTGGCGTCGTTAATATACAAAAACACAAACTGTCACACGCAGTACACATACATAAACACGTACATAACAATGTACGTCACGTGTGACAGTTTGTGTTTTTGTATATTAACGATGCCACTAAGGCTGAACATCTGACGATGGTACAAAGATGCTGAAACAGCCGTAACTATGTAATACTACTATGAGCTGATTAACGAAGGTAACTCTATTTTTTATTTAGTCACAAGATCAGCTCAGGGGCTAAAAATATAGATTTTAATTAGATAATGTAGTGTATGCAACTCGCGTGAAGTTTTTAAGGCACCCGCCAAGGCTCATACCTTAAAATTTCTACTTGTGTTGTTAAAACTATCTTTACGTGATCGTTGTGTAAACTAGTATAACATTACACATTTCTTGAAAACGCAAATTATTTACTGTAAGAATATAAAACTTAACATGACTGTAAGAAAGATGTAACACCAACGATAACTAAGATGTAAGTAGTGACGTGTCAATGTTGTCAAAGTGATTCTCTCCAACACTGGTTCTTGGGAAAAGTACCGTTACTAAGAATTGTTGTCGAAATGTGGTTAATGGATAATTTGGTTGGTAACAGTAGTAGATGGACCATATAGGCCTATTGGCAGTATGGTCCAGCGATGGCATTGCAATAGCGATGAGTCAAAACTGAAACTGGCACATTAAAAAAGCGAGTTAAGCAGCATCTGTTGTGGAATTATGGGTAAATTTTGTATTTATGGAATTTTCAATTTACTGGGATTGCGCATGACAACAGTGACGTATCCATGACCGCAGGAGACGATAATATGTCTACACTCGGCCGCGAGGGATGATCTGAATTTTGCCGCGATCGCAGAAGACGATGATAATGTTTACACAACTGCGGGATACAGTCAGAATTTTGCCGCAATCACGCAAAATGATATCTACAGAGCAAAACGTAAGATGATCAGAATATTGCCACGATCACGGAAGACGATGATTATGTCCACAGGACCACAGGAAACCGTCAGAATTTTGTCACAATCGCGTAAGACAATGATGATTTCCACACGACTGTGAGATATGATTAACATTTTGCCGTAATAACGGGAGACGATTATGATGTCATCTCGACCACGGGAGATGATTACGATGTCTACAGCACCGCAGCAGGTACAATAATGATGATGTATACACGGCCGCGAGGGATGATCAAAATTATGCCGCGATCGTGCAAGACGATGATAATGTCCACCGTGCCTATTGGGTAAATCAATCATTCAATGTTCTTTGTAATCAAGCTTTTCTTATTGGCTACAACTTTCGCCGTTCTCTTATGCAATTATGTTTCTGTTTTAGCGAACCAGATGCCTGTCTTCAAACCATTCCTTCGTGTGGCACCCTTAGTATTTTAGCAAGATTTAAATTTAGTGTGCATTTAAGATATGGTTTACTTGAAGTTGAGTTTTTTTTTTTATATCTTGTTATGTATGTTTCCGAATACCTACAAACCGTAGGTCTTTATTTAAATGCAGATAAACATCCTTGTTTTTCAAGTATAGAATATAAGACTGATTAGTTGGTTATGCATTTGCAAATTTGACCGTACTGCAATGTCAACACTTTAATTTGGTTCCAAAATTTTGATTTGTTTGATTTATGAATAAAAAATATTTAACCTTTGAACCATTAAAGATAAAGTGGATTTTAATTTATGATAAATAATATCTGTGTTGGTAATGTAAATAGTGTACTTAATTCTGTACAGTTTGTACAAAATCATACATTTAAATAGCCCAACCTGTAAATTAGCTTTACTGTATCTTTAATTTTATCAGACTAGAACATAGAATTATCTTATTTATCTGAAAATATTCTTAAACATTAATTGTTTGAATCTGTTTGAACAACCAACCAAACAAACTACGTTGTTTATTGAAGAAATGCTTGTTAAGGACTAATTTTTTGTGCCGTATTTATAAAATGCTTTTTTTATTTATGATCCAAGATGCTATTCAATTCAATCTTTCTTAGCTTTCTAATAAAGGGTTATACATGTAGCTATCTTTAATACTCTGTAGCATCTATTTAACATCAAAAAAGATATTTTGGTAAACAGATCCTGGAAGCATAATTGTGTTTTAAATGTTTTTTTTTTTTAGGTTATTAGTTTTTAAGTCTAGTTTTCGCTTCCCAGCAGATTAAAATGTTCAGATTTGTACATACAGCACAATAATTGAGTTACTTTAATATTTTGTAGATTGGTATAAATGTGACTTACGAATAAGTCAATTACGAATGTGTTGGTAATTTCTATGTCTACAATAGCTTACATGTTTGACCACTTTTTTAGTAAACAACTACTGTTTTTCAATTAGGTTTGATTTTAAAAACTGTTATTAAGATAGTAAACTGTTAGAAAGAATAACTTAGGCTACTTATGTTTTGTTAGTTAAGAAGATTTCAAATATAAGTTCTCATTAGAATTAACATTTTTCAAATTCATTCTTCAGTATTTGAACTGCTTGTATAGTAAAAATGAATTTTTATTAAAATTTATGTTCGTGCAAAAAACTTGAGGTTTTATTATAAACCTTCTTCTAAATATATAATAACCCTCATAATAGTTATTAGTTTTTTGATAAAATATAATGCGGCAAAACTCAAATTCAAACAGACAATGAACAAGTCAAAAATGGCAGGCTTTCAAAGATTCAAAATTGCAAAGTTGTTCTTTTGAGCTGAAATTTGCGGCTTTAGATTTTACCATCAAAGACCTTTGATTTGATGTGCATATCAACCTATACTTACACTAACCAAATTTCAATCTGTCTGATTACTACTTGACAATTTCCATAAACAAGCTCTTCTAGAAGTGTGTCCTCAGCAAAGGGATCATTGTCAAAGAGACCTTGGTATCGTTCTAGCAGTGGCTTTGCCTCTTCAGAGAGTCATGCGATGTAATGGGTTCGACAGCCTCTAGGTATCATTTTTCTGGAGACCTGCTGGACAAGCTTAACGAAGGAGTCATACATATCAGGTTGTGGAGGGATATTGACGATTTCTTTGTCAATGATCTCCCTAAAACCCGTCCAGTTGGCCTTTTTGAAATTAAACCTGCGCCTTAGAGGAACAACTTTAGGTTTAACAACAGCACTAACGGTGCATACTATAGGTCTGTGTTGAGTTCGGGGAATCGGATCACCTACAGACTTTTCACACTGTGAGGCAATCCTGCTGCTCACAAAGATGTTGTCAGGGTTATAACCCGTCTTCCATGTTCCGCTGTTAAAGGAGCAAGGGAGCTTAGGATCGTGTATGAGCTGCAGGTCATTTGCCTCAGCCCAGGTTTCAAGTTTTGTCCCATTTTCACTTGTCTCTTTGTATCCACAAGCTATGCTCTGACAATTAAAATCCCCCAAGACGAAATTAATGTCATCATAGCATAGATTATCGGGCTCTGTAAATACACATTGAGAGTGGGAGGCTTATACAAAGAGGTGACACTGTACTGTGGTGTCCTGACTGTTAGTATCTCAGTATTGTTCCTCTTAGGCCCAGCGCACACGGTGTGTTTACAACAACTGTTGCAAACCAGTTGCGTCTGGAACCAGTTTGCAACTGAAACAAAACTTCTGTCCGCACACGGTGTGACTGTTTTATAACTGCAGTTGTGTCTATTGTGCAATCAGTGGAGTGCAAATTTAGTGCAGTTACGTTGTTTTAAGGCCTTAAGTGCGCTTACTACGTCGGACTCAGACGAAGAAGACGTTATTAGCTATTATCAATACCGAAGACAGCGAAGGGTACTGAGAAAGCATTGGGCTCACCCTTATTTGAGAAAGAATGTTAGTACTAGGCTGTTTGTAGCAGTTAGAGCTATTCGGATAGGAAATTATAAACACTAAAAACACTATACGGCCGTCAAAATTCCACCAAAATACCACCAAACACCACAAAACACCCCGTGGTCTCGTGCAACTGAAGTCTGCAACGCAACTGCAACGTCGGGCCCACGGTTGCATGTGACTGGTTTCAAACTTTTTTGAAATCGCATACAACCAGTTGCGTCCTGTGCGCCTCCCCATTACAATACATTGCCGAGGTCTCAAAACAGTTGCACGCGCAACTGGTTTGCAACGAAAGTTGTAAAACAGTCACACCGTGTGCGCTGGGCCTTAGTCAGCGAAGCTGAGGTGATGTCAATGTATGGCCTGGCAAAAACAGCACTACCATATTGATCATGAGGTCTCTCTAGAATCAGTCTCATTCCCTCTATGTTGGGTCTAGGTTTTAAATGCCCCGGTGTGTTTCTTGCTCAAGGAGGAAGTCGCATTCGTACATCTTGCACATATCAGACAGTAATACTTCTTTGTCTCTCGATATTAATCGAGATCGTTACTAATGGCCTTGAAAAAGACCGTTTAGGTAGATTCATTTTTTGAAGTCTTCTGGTTGTAGAAGGATTTGCCGCTGAGATGTCAGCGTTGCCCAGGGTGCGTCCGTGTAATGGTCACAATCTTCAGGGAGGCGCTCCTTCTCTGCACCCCAATGTTTTAAACAAGAATGTACTAATGAAAAACAGTAAACTGCAATCATTTTACATTATCTTTAAATAAAATTCCATCATTTGAATTTAACTAAGGTGTTGCACTTTTAATGCCACCAGTACTGGCCATTGTATTGCTGGACAGCTTGGAAAACAAGGTAACAAATTTTAACTTACAAACTCATGTGCAAGCTTTAATTAAAATGTACAATAACTTAGGTGATAAACGTACCAATGTCCTATTTTATAGTATTAGCTTAATAATTTCTATAGGAAGTTTGTTTATCCTTAAGTGCAAATTTTCACATAAAATATACATCTTGCCGCTTGGACACCCTGAGTAGGATGGATTCTAGAGGAGCAGGAAGAAATGAGCGAGGGTCCAGTGTTATCTTCTCTGGAGTTTCTGGAACCACCGAAACTTCATATTTGGAGAGAATCGTAGTCAAAGCACATTTTACTTGCATCTTTCCAAAGCGCATACCTAAAACAAACATCTCCAATAATTATACACCATTAAGAGTAGGGAGTGAAAATATTCAATATAACAGAACACAGAAAAATAATAACTTATGTTTAAAATAATTTAGTGTTATGCTAACCTCACAGGAAGTCAATCTTCTCATATTAAAAAAAAAAAATTGTTTTTCTTTTCCGAGTAAGTTTCGCTCTTCTACCCGACTGATTTTCATGATTGATGTCTCAAATTTAAGGTTTGTACGCACAGATTTCACATCAAGCATCGGCATATATTTATTTACTGTCCCACTCGACTTATACGTAAACGAAATTTGCTCCCTGTGTATTTCTTATGGGGGTTATATTTGGCTTTTTTTTCTGAGTTCCTTCAACCGATTTTAATGATTGAGGTCTCAAATTGAAGGTATGCACGCACAGATTTCACATCAAGCAATGGCATATATTTATCTACTGTATAACTTGACCAAAAAACATAATTCTGCTTTTTTTAAATTTATACTTCAGTTAAATATGTATTTCACCAGTTATCTATATAAATAAAATTACAGTTATGTCTGTACATTGCTTAGAATCATGCAGATTTGGTTATTTTTACGTTTCATAGCCTAAGAAAGGCGAAACGAGTCTTATCTCAATTTCTGTCTGTCTGTCTGTTTGTCTGTCCATTCTGTCATTCTGTCTGTGATGCCAAAATGTCATTTTACACGGCCTACTCCTAGAAAACTAGAGTACCGATCATTTTTCTGCATTTACTGGATTGGTGATGTCTTTGGCTATAAAAACATGGTCTCGCCTCTTTGAAAACTAAATAACAAACCATCAAAACCCCAATTTTGTTCGATTTTTGTCAAATTTTCAGAATTATGTAGCCCGATTGGTAAACTGACGGTATTATAACAATATGTCCGTGTGAATTACCTTTTGGATTAAAAAAAATTTGTTTTAGAGGTTGAAAAAATCATATTTTATTTGAACAGATGGCGTTTTTGGTCTCTGGGAATCTGAATTAAAAAAAGTAAATTGGTCCTGGTCCAGGTCTTACCATGAGACCTGGGGTAATAGAGCTTATTCTCTATATGGAAAATTCACACAAAAAATGGGTTCTCACCAGTTGGTAGTCGTGCACAAGTCACTATACTTCACCCTCGTCTTTCTGGATTTGACTTAACTCTTAAAATTCCCCTCTTACTTCCCCCTCACAAGTCAGTCGGGGTGTCATTATATTATATAAATGTCATTATATTTATGTAGTTTGACAAAATAATAACAATTAAAATTAAAAAGTATATAACAAATCACATCCGCAGTTTCAATAGCTTTAAAATGAGATATTTTGCAACTTTTTATCTTAATAAACAACGCCGGGGCATCAACTATTAACATTGCCATTATGGGCAGAAAATCCAAGACAGCCAGCGGTCCTACCGACTCTTAAGTACAATTTCGCAAATTGTTTGGATTTAACAAACTACCTACTATCCAAGACTCACCAATGCATGCCATTGGTCCATCACCAAAATGAAGATTCACCACTTTGTGCTCCTTGGTGTTAGAGGGGTTGAAGCGTTCTGGGTCAAATCTTAGAGGGTCTGGGTAAATCTCAGGATCTCTATTGATGGCAAAGCTGGGAATGATCACCCTCACACCACTTTCAACCATCAAGTCTCTATCCGGCATCTTGTAAGGTTTTGTACATTTTCTTGTCAGAATTGGAAGAGAAGGATAGAGACGCAAGGTTTCTGAAAAACAAGATTTCCTCACACTTAGTGATTAAAATTACAATTAAAATTAAAGTCACAAACACTGATAAATAGTTGTTGCATACTTGTTTTTATACTTTAATACTTTTTTCTGAAATGGCAAACATTCGAAAGTAGGGGTTTTAAGCCACTTAAGTATGAACGGAGAGGAGTGGCATATGGTTACAGAAAAGGTATTATCAAAACATATACACAGGGTTGAAGGGACTATGATCTAACTGTATTTACAAATTTGTTTCATGTACAACTTAAGCAATTAGATTGTATAATCTATTGATAACTTCTTGATCAGCACTATGTGTTATTAAATTTTACAGAAAGTAAATAAAAGAAACGTTCTATAACACTTAAAACATATATTTACGCTTATACTATTACTCTCTATGTATATTTAAAAAAAATTATACTAAAAAATTAAAATAAAAATTAAATTAAAAAATAAATATCTATGTAAATATACATAAAAGATAGTAAGTGGTGGTCGATGTCGATTGGACACTGCAATCATCATCAGACCCAATAGGCGAATTATAATAGCGAATTAACATTCGCAAATATATGTTTTTAAGTTTTATAAGACGTTTCTTTTATTTGCTTTCCGTAAATTTATTGATGTCACAATAAATGCCTTGACTAAGAAGACATTCATAGCATTCACAACATTTTCAACTAGTAGAAAAATGTGGAATTTAAAGGCTTAAAACATATTTTTATACGTAATTGACCTCTAAAATATGTGGAATTTAAAGCCAAAAAACATATTTTTATACGTATTTGAACTCTAAAATATGCTCATGCTAATAGTATTTATGTTAGCTAATAAAATATAAAATATTTCGGGGAGGGATATATCCCTCCCATCCCCCCCCCCTGGGACCACACTGACTTTCTGGTCTAAATAGAGTGAGGAAACCAGCAGATTTCTGTAGTGTGACAAAAAATGTCTTACCATAAATCACTTGTTCCAAATAAGCCATATCTTTGAGAGATTGATATGTAATTTGTCCTCCGTGTCTCTTTAAAACTTGATCCACTTCCTGGACGGCCTTTGCAAGAATGTCAGGTTGTCGAGCCATCTCATACAAGGCCATTGTTGTTGTTGTTGATGATGTTTCAAACCCAGCAGCAAACATTACAAATACTTGAGCTGCCATTTCCTCAAATGTAAGTCCTGCAATGCATCAAACCTTTTGTACTTAACAAGTTTCAAGTTTTAACTACACAATTAAATAAGGTACGGTTTGAAACAAACTTAAATGCAGTTCCCTTTTAAAATAATGAACTCCGCTCCATTCATTTTATTATTTTATGAATACATAAAACAATGGTGATTCCTTTTTTAGCGAATTTCCCATATAGGGAATAAGCTATTACCGTAGTACTCATGGTAAGACCTGGACCAGGGACCGATTTTTTTTTTCGTTTTGAGGTCCCTAGAGGCCAAAAACACCATCCGTTCAAATTCATATATATATATATATGTGTCCGTTAGCGCGATAACTCGAGCAAAAATGATCCGATTTTGATGAAATTTGGTACAAACGTGTAAACCTACGTTTATTCGAACGAGTTCGCGAACCAGCATGATCGGACCATGGGAACAGGGGTTTATGGGGGCTTTTATGGGGTAAAAATGGGTTTTTCCTATTTTTGACCCAAAAAACATAAAACTTTGAAATTTCTTTCAAAACTATTTTGTAGAGCTTAAAAAAACAAATAATTTAGTATATTGAAGCGCTATAATGCGCCTAATGGTTACGGAGAAAATTCCAAACAATTGTTAATTTAAAATTCCCATGTTATTCTTATGGAGAATAAGTAAACCGTTGTGGTGTGCTTGTTTATTAACATATTTTGCCCAAATTTGGAAAATGCTTTTATTTCTTACTAACTATTAACATTTTACATAAAAAAAAAACACTTTTACCCTCCCTGTTGCAGCAAACCTAAGTATGTGTTAAACTGATTCTATTTAAATAGGGAATAAATGTGATATTTTTAAGGAGACATTTTAGTCTAAATCCAATCAGGCAAATGGAAATTCGCTTAGTCTGCAGGTTTGCTGCGGCGGGGGTATTACGTTGTTTAGCATTGTTTAAATGGAGAAAAGTGGTCATACATTATGAAAACAACACGTTTCTCTGTTATTATTTATCCAATCTTAACAAATGAGGTATCATTGAAAACTACATAAAATTTACAAACTTTTTTGTCTCTTGCAATTTTTTTGTTAAGTTAACGGTTTTCGTGAAATTTGGCATCAAATATTATAAATGGCCGCCATTTTGAAACGGTTAAGGATTTTTTAGTATAATTTCTAACGATAATAGGTCTTTATAAGATTAACATTTTTGCAAAATATCAAAGCTGTATCTCAAACCGTTTAGAAGTTATTAGTTTTTTAGTAAAAAACACATAAATACCGACAGTCGGTAAACTAGACACCACAGACCCATGTTCCTATGGTGAAATGTGTTTGACTTGACCTAAGGAATAACGCTATATACAAGTGTCCAGAGAGTTACGGGACACCCTGTATAATCAATACTAAATAGTATTCATAGGAATATCCTTTTCTTTTGTACTGTATTTAGTACATAATTTGCTTCTATACTTTAAATGATTTGGTACAAGCATAATATGTTAATAAGTTAATTTATTTAAATTTTAATAAAACTTTCATCATGGCTACTTGACAGCCCATAAGACCATAGACAAAAAAAATATTAAATATAGACTGTCAGCTGTGATTTGGTTACTATGGTTACCATAGGTTCTGGCGCACACCGCTCTGGGAGCGCCGTGTAGTTACGTAGCGCGTAGGCCGTAAAAAAAAAAAATACTAGGCCAAATATTCATAATCATAATACCAGGGGGAGGGGAAACTTGGATATAGTACCACATAGGCTTACCAAAACTAAAACTTCTTTTAAACTAAATTTACTTTTTCAATAAGCTGCCTGAGTATGCAAGAGAGGTTGGTTTAAACAGGTTTTTAATCTGTATTGTACACCTGGCTGGGTAGAAAATCCCTTTTATAAACTTGAGGATTTCTGTACAAACAGACCAATGGAAATAAAATATTCTTATTCTTATTCTTACATGGCGCTTCCAGCGGTGTGCGCCAGAACCTATCGTAACCACAGCACAGCTGACGGTCTATATTTTATTCTTTTTGTCTATGACAAGACTAATGTTAAAAATAATAAAATTTAATTTTAAGTTTTTAATGAAAAACAAATTTTCCCATAACATGGGTATTGTTTTTAGTCTGAAACTAAGATATTTCTAACATTTTGGAGGAAATTGTAGGAGCCGTTTTTTAAATCATTGTGCGCAAACGTTAACATGGGAAACTCCAGAGCCACTGGGGCGGCGCCCAAAAGGATTTTTGAGATAAGAATGTGTCTATCGGGAATGTGAGCTCATCACACCAAATTTCAACCCAATCCGACCAGTATTTTTCAAGTTTACTTGTCACAAACATCCATCCATCCAAACTTTCTCACTTATAATATTATTAGGATTGATCTATAATTACATAATAAACTATATCATTAAGCATGTTTCAAATACAAACCATCATTGGATCCATCAGAATGTCTGCTTTCAGCCTTTTCTTTGTCATCCTCTTCATCGTCATACAAGTTCTTATTTTGTTTAATTTTTATTAACAAATCAATAAAATCTTCTCGGTAAATGTTATTATTTACTCTATAGTCATAAGTTTCTTTGGCAACCTGCATACAAAACTCCTTAACTTTTTTGTGGTTTATTTCAAGTCCTAACAAATCATAAACGTAAGGTTGATTTATGGACAACATTAGTTTTATCTGATTCCATAATTCAATAGGGAACATTAGCTTACTTATTTTTCTGACTTCACTGTCCTTTTCCATTACGGCATTTGTTTGAAGTCCAAACAGACACGAGCTGATGGAATCACTTGTAAATCGAGACAACAAGTCCTTAAATTCAACAGTTTCATTACTTTTAGCAACATTTTCTAAATATTTATCCAGCTCCAACGAACACATAAACATAAGGTGATACATCTTCTTCATTCTCCCGGAGGTAAATGTAGGCGTAAGTTTCGTTCTCATTCTTTTCCATTCTTTATCCTTCAAGTTGAACAAGTGCAGAGCAGCAAGAAAATCCTTTTTTACATCTTGATGAATATGACCTCTGTCAGCAAAGTTGTAGAAGTCAGTTACCATAACAGCTTTGATAATGGACTGATCTCTTAGTACCAACGTTGGTTTTCCAAGTTCAAATATACCAAAGTATTTTTCATTAGGCATTTGATCGTATAGAACTTTGAAACAGGTTCCAATGTCAGCCTTATTTATCACTTGATCCTTGATGTTACCAAAAGGAAAAGATGGCTTTATGTAAGGTACGTTACGCTTCTTCCAGTAGGAATACTCTGATGTCAAGTAAAAGTAAAATAACACTGGTAATAAGGTGATGATTGCAGCCAAAAATATCTCCAGAACATAGTCCACAGCCATGGCTACAAAACAAAAGTTAACATTTAATATTATGATGGGTTAGCCTCTGGATCGAAAATTGCAATATAAAATGGTTATGTTACCTTTCGCGTTGAACGATCCTTGTGTAGTAAGTGATAACTACAGCTGTTTCATGCCGCTGGGGCACATCTTCAGGTTGTAGAGCGTCAAGATAAAATAGCTGTCATCCGTGGATGATTTTGTCGAAATAAATATTACACAGAAAACATAAATAAGATAACATTTAAATACACGAGTTTAACAAACTTGGCCAAGTGACAAACTGACAAACACGCGAGACAGGCGCCAGTGAATGTGAATGCGTAGTTATAATGGCATAAAGCTTTGTATAAATAAAAATAAATAACTTGAAGTTCATACAAAAACTTAAACGTGTTAAAAAACAAATTAAAATTACAGTTTATTACCGGTAGCTTACATACTTTTTTTAACAGTGGATTGGCATGTTTTCATCATGCACATTTTAAGCAGAGAACTTAATGAAATATATATAAAAAAAATGATTGGTTATTGACAGGCCCCAAGGAGCTTCATCCTTTGTCGGATGATTGAGCCCGCATTCAACTGATTAGTTCTTCCTCAGGAAGATGACCCCTCTTACCTGATTGCCAAGAGTTGTCTTACCACTATTATAAATGACACAGGTTTTTGGAAAATCCCCTGAATAATTTTTTGTATTACCTAACATTAACTCCTGGTACCATCTCGGTCTGCCCAGTTTATGGCTAATCAGTACCAGTAAGAGATAAATGAACGAATGATGATGATGATGAGTGATGAATGAATGAATGATTGGAAGGTTCAGTATTTGATCAACATCCGGTAATTTCCAACTAAGATGCTACTATTTCACCAATGTGTGTGATGTGTAGTATTGTAGTCAAAGTCAAGTCAAAAATGCTTTATTCATTGTCTTGTACATAACGGTAGTTGTTAGCACATTTTTTGAATGCGCCATTTCTTAAAACTAATCCTTATAACTACCCAATACAATTTGTCAATTTCTGTTAATAGTCGTACAATAATGAAAAACACCATAATTTCTGTTGGCAAATGTTCAATGTAAGGCCATTAGTTATTTTAAAACTCATCTAGTGAGTAATGCTCTCTCGACTTGGTGTTCTTTTAATTTTCTTATAAATTTTGAAAACTCATGATTTGTGTCTATTATGGGAGAAATTAGGTTTAAAAATTTAGATCCGATATAATTTTGCGGGGGTATCAAGTTTTGTTGTTATTCTTGTTATACTGTTTTTCAACAAAGTCAGGTCAACAAGATTGCCCACGAGGACAGAAAAGGAGGACACAGTTCCCCACAATTTCATGAAAGCGTTTTAAAGATCAGGAGACACTTTCAATGGCACATTTTTAAAAGGTGACTAATAATAGCATCAGTTGATTAGTATACCTATCGAGAGATGGCTGCGTCAAAGATAGATACTCAATCCTTGTTAGCCTTGCATAGTCCAAAAACAGTGATTGAAAATACCTACCAGAGCATTAGACTACAACAAACTTAATGGCAAAAACAACATCCCCAAACATTTTGTGATCCCCTTTAAATTTTCTGGCTTGTAAAGTCCACTCAGGGTGGGCTTGCCAACTTGGGAGATAAGGATCAGGCAATATTAGCCGCCACAGTAGACTAAGCGAATTTCCATTATTTTGCCTGATGAGTCATTCATACATTTCCTGTATAATAAAACACATTTCCTGGGTACAATCTGGGAATTTTCACATTTAAAAAAATTAATAAATAAGAGACAAATTTAAAAACGTTCCTATGCTCTGATATTTATGATTCAAACTCATTAATTCATTGTTGGTTGAATTAGTTTGTTGGTGTTTGTATAGTGTGGTGTTTAGCTCTTTAGCCCATTGGGGACACCGAATTGTTAAAGTAAAACGACCCAGGGTCCAAGTCTAGGTTTTCCCATGAGACCTACGAAATTAACCAACAATTCCAAAACTTGGGGGAGGTTTTGTAATAGCTTCTTTCCTATTGGGGAAATTTGCTAAAATAATAATAATTACCACACAACTATACAGAATTTTGCCTTTTGTATCAAGAACAAGAAAAATATGGAGACAGTCACTACATTATAGCCTTACAAACTTCTTGATTGACTTTGTTACTTGGAAAGTTCAATTAACACTAATGGTTGTGATTCAAATAGTGCTTCATATAAATACTGTATTTGAAATTATTTATATAGACTAGTTAACCGCCCGTTCTCCGCCACGGGAATATTGACAGCAATAAAAGATATAATAATAATAATTAACAAAATTATTTATTTTAGAAGAGGCTTAACTTTTTACTGCTATTAACCTATAAAGTCTCTATAGTGTATATCAATAAAATAATATACGATCAACCTTTTATTTCTAGCTACAATCTTTTAGGTCTCTGTAACAAATAAAAAGCATAAAAAGTCACTAATATCAAATTAAACTTGATAATTGCTACTAACTCACCTAATATTTAATACTGTTTATATTTGTATTTTATTTAGGGGCTGCTTAATTTTTTTTTACATGAAGTAGAACGGATAGTTGGCCTGTATAAACTATTTATGTTAATCAAACCGATATATTAGTTTAACCAAATGAATGTTTTAAATTAATTTGAGTTACATTTAAAAAATAAATAATGTAGCCTATGAACTGCACAATGCTGATAACCTAATAAGCTACTTATGCTATGGAGATAATTTGTTCATATATATTCCTACATTCATTGTTTTCTTGTTCATTACATTCGTTGTGTGGAATAAAGATAGTCACTTAAATCACACCTCAGCAGTTGGTCGCATTTCACGGATCTTTGACCCATTCTGTGAGTTAACAGCTGTGTTTACATCGTATAGCCGATAATATAAAGTTGGGCATACTTTGGTTCAATGTTAGAGGGTATTAACGGGAACGGTCCAATCCAATGGTAAAAGGAGTCCCAGATCTAAAATTATATAGACTACCGTACCAGAATTATGATTCATCTAAGTGAGAATTATAAACTCACCATTGCAAATGCAGAGTTGTATGATCTTATATTATTCAAATAGTTTTTTTGGACTTTTTTTGTTTCTTTTGAAACTTAATACTTTATATAGGCCTATAGTTTATGTAGCCCCGTTGATAAGATTTTCTATGAACTCAGAATGTTGATAAGGAGCTAATTTAACATTCCCCTTGTGACAACATAAGGAGAATATACTTGTGTCCCTGTTAGTCTGTTCTGACTCTAAATTCATAGATTTGCAGAAGGTGAAAAATCCAATTTAACAACCCCAATTCAAAAAAGTCGGGGTTTTTTCAGAAACTTCCAGAGCACATTTAATACCATAACTGCTATTTAATTTTTAGTTCCATGGTTCTCCGCGTTTTTTTCGTTCTGGTTGTCACTTTACGCACAGTTAACCCTAGATCTGGCGGTCATTTTATTCACCAGTGGCGGGTATATTTTGGCGCTTTTGTAGTGGTATCATATATTTTGCCACAGAACATTTATTTGTGAATATAAGTACACACATATATATATTTTCTATTTCAGTGATGAATTTAGAATATAATAAAATAAAAATATTCTTTTCCTAGCAATGCGTTTAGGCGTCGTAGCAAAAGGTTTGCAAATTTTTGGATTATGCAAATTAGAAATTTCAAAAGCAACCCACAAGAAAACCACAAAAAATACTCATAAAAATAAAATTATAAAAAATAAATTCTTCATACATATTTTCTTTTTTGAAAAACTACCAAATTACTTTTTGTCACATAGGAAATAATAGAATGCATCAACAAAAAATGAAATGATACTGTACAATAGGTAATAAAAAGATCTTTCTGAAAATATATAGTTATATTTAGTTGAATTCTAAAATGTCGGAGAAATTAACGTCGGAATGTAAAATTTTGAAGATTTTTTTACAAAAACATAATATTTATGACATTTTAAAAAACAAATAAAATTTTTACAATCAACCTTATAGATTCACAGGGAATTGTAGGGAATTTATTGTAGTTTCAGAATATGTACTAATATTGTATACAATTTAATTGACAATCACCAAAAACAGCTGTTTTTGTAGTCAGGTGACCAAAACTTTCCACCGCCATATTTTGAACTCTCTAGTTTTTCAAACTACCGTTTCTCGCTACATAATACTCACTCAATAATGTTTTAAGCAAGAAAATGAATCCTCAGAATCTCATCTTTCTAATGGTATAAGATTTATTGCGTTTTAAAACTGTTTTCATATTTTAATAATAGAAAAACCCGACCCATGTCATCTTGGTCTATAATCGACCAGCGCCACTGAGAACTCACGTTTTAGTGGTCGAAAATCGACCAGCGCCAGATAGAGACCAATGACTTACCTTTTCTTTTTCTTTTTGTACTTTTCACACCCTGGGGATTATGATAAAGTTGTATAACGCTGTAATGACCCGAGTCAACTTTGCCTTTAAACATCAAGTCACACACTTTTACGCCAGAACCGAAATCATAAGTCACAGTTTCTCAAACCAACTACACTTTCCCTTGTTCGAAATCGTGTCTGATTTTAACAGGAACTCCTAGATTAATAATTACATACTGAAAGTGAGGTTATAAAAATAATAACAAATGTCTGACAAATATTAAACAGCTGACAAATAATTTATAAACTGTGTATATATTCTTCAATAGAATTGTATTGACTCGACCTTTGAAGGGCTGTAGGTCGTAGCCCTTAGAAAATACGCAAATTATAAGGAAGTTCGGCAAATCTACGCATTATCCTCTTTAATTTGAGACATAAATCTTGTAGATCGGTCCAGAAATGACTGAGAAAACAGTGTTACAACTGTGTATTAAATATATAGATAGATAATTTATAAACTGTGTATATATTCTTCAATAGAATTGTATTGACTCGACCTTTGAAGGGCTGTAGGTCGTAGCCCTTAGAAAATACGCAAATTATAAGGAAGTTCGGCAAATCTACGCATTATCCTCTTTAATTTGAGACATAAATCTTGTATATCGGTCCAGAAATGACTGAGAAAACAGTGTTACAACTGTGTATTAAATATATAGATAAGAAGATTTTAACTAGTTTGGTACTTTACTGTTTTATCTGTAAATTCTTGGATATACAGTAGGTATTATAAAAGTAATAGTTATTTGTGCAACTAGTGAGAAAAGTGAGCAATTGACTCACTCGAGAGAAATCCTTACTCACGAGCCGTAGGCGAGTGAGGAATTGTTTCTCGAGTGAGGCAATTGTACTTTGCACTCGAGTTGCACATTATATTTTTCCTACAGTTACCATAAAACAAATAAATTGGTGAAGAAACGTAACATATTTTTACACAGAAGTGAACTTTTGATATAACATTTAATGTGAAGTGACAAATACAACAGTACAACAGCTGACCAGCTGATTTACAGCCAGTGCTGCCAACGTATTTCGCGCGCATACGACGTTGTCTGCATGTTACGCGCTCACTATTTCGTGCCTTCACGTTGCAAATCTGGAGTGAGACAAAGTAATTAGAGTGAGACAATGTTAACATTGTCTCACTGATGAGCGAATTGGCCACTTTGCTTTCTCAAATCAGTGAGAGAACATGTACATTGTTAGGTAACTGTAGGAAAAAAAATCATTGTGATACTAAAACAGTGTTTGAATATTTTTTTACAAAACAAGAAAAGCTAAAGGTAAAAGCTTGAAGTTTAAGTTTCAATTTTGTATTTATAACTGGTAGCAAAAGGGAAGCTCACTTTGTTCATTTATTTTAGAAGAGGCTTAATTTTTTACTGCTATTAACCTATAAAGTCTCCATAGTGTCTATCAATAAAATAATATAATCAACCACTTTATTTCTAGCTATTGCTTTTAGGTCTCTAAAACAACTAAAAAGCATAAAAAGTCACTAATATCAAATTAAACTATTGATAATTGCTACTAACTCACCTAAAATAAAGCAGTTCTGTCCTATAACGACTGAGATAAGTTGTTGTAGTTGTGAGTACAGATGTTTATTTATCACTAAGGTTGGCTTATCACTTGAACCAAATCAACCTTTATCTCTTCCTTCTTTACAAAATAGCTTTTGATAATTTGAAATGATTAGTGCATAGCAGAAGTATAAATCTAGAAATAATTATAAACTTCTTAAATTTATAACTGGCGATACATTAGTCATATCCACTTCCTTTTTTTATGATCATGTCTTTATAAATTGGCCGAAAGACAATCGTGTATGTAATAGCTTTTCAACGGCATGCAGAGAACTATATTATTGTCTCAATTGTCACTAATTTAGAGAGACCTACTTTCTCTTTGTTTCAGAGCAGATATGACTCACGCAAAACTAAGGTCAAATAAATAACCTTAAGCAAAATGGAATTCACAACAAAGCCTTGTAAATAAGTTCTATATATCTAAAAATCTACTTTTTGAAGCAAATATTTTTCTCATGCTAGAGACGGTACACAAGGAGTCAGAAGGATGTAAATGAGACCAGTATTCAACAAATGGATATACTGTTAATTTAATTTACAACTCATTTATATTTAAGAATTCATTCAGACTCTTTGAGGCGCTTTTGTAGAATGAAGAAAAAATTTTATATCTGCTTCTAAGAGTAGATTTTTTTGTAAAATACTTATGTACAGTATAAAGTTTTGTTACATTATCTGTACGGTTAAATTGATAAGATGCTGTTTCCGAACGTTTTGGGGAAAAGGAATGACAGTAGAAATGATGAAGAAATGACGAGCCTTATATTTTGTGTGACTGTTAACTGTCATTCCTATGTATGTGTGTATGTTTCAAGATAAATGAACAGCATACAGCAATCAAACATCAAATTCTACGTTTAGCTTCAAAAGTCATCTTGATATTCAAGTTTAGGAAAGAAGAAAATGGCGTAGTAAGAGTGATATTATTAAATTATATTAAAATTTGTACCAATAATCGACATGTCTACTAGTAGTGAATAGCTGTAAAATTGAACTATAAGTCATTAAAGTTGCCAAGATTATGAGAAATCTAAATTTAAGATAGTTTAGGAGAGAGTTATAAACTGTTAAAAAGTAATATACATTATTTATTTCACACAATATACAAGAAGATTTATAAAAGATCGATGACAAGGAATACATGGGCTGAAGATTTACCCACCGAGAATTACCAAAATTACTACATACCGGTACTACACCATCAGTAAAACACATTTCGTTTAAACTTACGTTTTTAAAGATTGCTCACTATAAATAAAGTAAGTCTCAGTGAATAACATCAGTGTTGTCAACTATAATTTAGGCTTTTTAAGTTTAACCTTGCACTCTGGAGCATTCGGATTCTGGCCTTTATAAAATTCCTTGAGCAAATCCATAGCTTCATCAGCCATCACACCTCCAACTACGGGACAAGGGTTGGTGTACATCTTGGACGTATCCAAGACCGAGGAGCAGCCTCCAAAACGATCATTGGCACACCCGTACGTGATGGAGGCTACTCTGACGTCGTGAAGAGCTGCTGCACACATGATGCACGGTTCTACGGTCACTACCACCTGACAGTCATGTAGAACATCTGTCCAGTTGGGGTACTTCTTGACTATGATCTCTACACAGTCCATCTCAGCATGCCTGGTAGCATTGCGGGTTTCATTGACAGTGTTACTGCCAGTGGCAATCACCTGGCCCTTGTATATGAACAGACATCCTACAGGCACCTCCCCGCCAACAAGAGCCTCTTTTGCCACTTTCAGCGCTTCTTTCATGTAATTTGCCATCTGTAATGTGTATCATCAGCTCATTAGATATTTTGTTACAAGTGAAATGTAATTCAACAGTTTTTCCAAACATTTGTCATCATGTTGTTGAGAGGCAGTTTTTGTAGGGAAAAAAGGGTATTTGAAATACAATTCAAAAGTGATCCCATATAATAAAATTTTAAAATGTATGAATATTTAAGTCTGTTACATCCAGTTTTGATTGATTATGAAAACGATATGTGAATATTACAACAAGGCTTTTAAAATTAGGTTTCAGTTGGGTAAAAACAGTATACTCTAAGTAATTCAAACACCCAATAAATTTTGAACTCCAAGCAGATGGCAGGTCAAATTGGAACACACCGTAGTTCGAAGTTCTGTTGGCAAAACACTTTATAATAATTAGAAGGGAGGGATTCCTTCCTGTCATACAGTGATAGGAAACTAACTATACAGTATGTTAGCACAGTAGTTTGTCAAATATAAACTCATTGACGCAACAATCAATAGCACAATGCAAAAAAAAAGTCTTTTTTGTAACTAACTAAAAATAGGCTTTTGCTTGTTTTAAAGTAACTGAAATAAAATTTTTAGTTGTGCTGTTCTGAACCTTATACAGGGTGAGTTTCTACTAAGTGCGTTAATTTTTACCAGTTATTTTACTCACTAAAAGGAACAAAAAATGACAAATAAAAATTTTCTATCCCCACCCGTTATGCTGTAATGGCCGATTATGTGAATTTTTAAAATTACCTGTAGTAGCTTCACTAAAACGAGCATTGAAATTAAGCCAATAATAACAGCATAATAACTTATACCAATGAAAGGAGCGTTAAATTTCCTACAAAACCATTGCAACACCTTTAACATACAACCATAACATAAAAAAAAGTTTCAAAATCAATTCTTTACAACTTCAAAGTGGTTTTACAACTATACATACTAATGTGATGTTTTGTCAAATTACGTAAAAAACTTTCCCATTTAATGCCCTTTAAAATGATGTAACCCATAAGGTTATTGCTGTAATAAAAGTTCGAAAAATTTGGTCAAAACCGCGTCAAGGTCAGAGTTTTCGGAATCAAAACATTGAACCAAATGTAATACAGTATTTGTTAATTTCTTTGCTATCTTATAATTAGCTGACATCTGATCAGCTGGGTGTTAAACTTTGTTTACAAAACCAGCTGATTTCATATAATACAGTAACTTATTAAATAAGTTACACTTTATAATTCAAATGGTTAATTTTTCTCCTGATAAATCAAACCTCGATAGTAAAAATTTTTTGGTTGGCCCACCATTTTCAAATAGTCAAGAGTCTTTTAAGTTTTAACCTTAACCTGTCTACTGATCCTTATTTCTATAAAATTTAGTATATCGTGAACTTTTGGAGCCCAAATCCAAGGATGTGACATGATTTGCATAAAAATACATAGATAATTTGAAAATACAGATTAAATAACGAAAAAAATACCTTGAAAGATCAAGTGAAGTATTTCAACAGATCCAGTTGGGCAAACTGAGCTAGAGTTTTTTCGTGCCAGTTTTGGTTACTCTTGGCATTTCGAGGACTTGGGTGAGGAATAGACACGACCTGAAACACACGACACATACATAAAAAATGCTTAGGTAAGAAAAATAAAAACCCTTGTTTGAATTTGCTCAAGTACAGAACTGCCCAGAAAGTAGAAGGCGGCTCCAAACATGCACCAGTTGCCATGCACAGAGTCGCGATTAGTGTAGATAGGTGGTCTATTTGGCAAGCAGCAAACATTCGTCCTCGTGTTTCCCATTTATTGTCGGTATTTTTGCCCACATCAGAATGAACGAATATTTGCTATTTCCGAAACGAAAGAAAAAGGAACAGTTGCTCATAAAACAACACATGTGTGTAGACATCTTCTCGTTAATCGGCTAATAGCAAGACAGCTAGATTGCCAAACATCAAATGTTTTGTGCTTATCGAATGGCGCATGTCTGGAGCCGCCTTTACTGAAGTACATTCTACTAACATCCAAAAGTTTCAATGAAACGTGCTCTGATTATGTATTCGTAGCAATGTTGTTAGGATTTGTATTCAGGGTTGTACAACTTAAACTTGGATTTCGTACGGTATGAATAATCCATAATTGTGATAGTAGCTGTGGGTTCTAAAAAGTATTATGTTCAGGTTCTTGAGTATTGCTTATTGTACTTTTGCACATAATATTCTTGACCTATCCCAAGTAGATACTCTTACCTTTATGAAAGGAAATTCCTTCAGCGCTTCTTTGGCTCTTTTTTCAGCAAACCTCCCAATAGCAACAACAATTTGAACTTGCAAAAGGCTTACAATTTGACGCAAAGCTGCATCACACGGATTGAAGAGCTTCTTCTGTTCATTTGCCTGAAAAGAAAACATAAAGTACCGGTAACAATTTTATCAACACTTGAAACAAGAATAGGCATTTAGCAAAAATCCATTTTACTTTCTCCCCCTATTGATGGAAAAGGCTTTTTTGTCAACATTTTAAAGTTTGTTTTTTTGGTTGCACATTTGCGCCCCCCTCAACCCAAAAAAGGGGGTTTATAAGTTGTGTTTGAGTGGATGGATTTGTATAGAACTATACAGACTACACCTGTGGTCTGGATATGTACTAATCTATAATATCTCCAGGGCCCTGTTTCATAAAGATACTAGTCTAGTAATTACTAGTCTAGTAAATACTAGTCCCGTATTTACCTGTCCTACTAAATTGTGTTTCATAAACGTTTTTATACCGCTAGTAAATACTAGTGTATTTTACTAGTCACGTGACCAAAACTACTAGTCACGTGACCAACTTTACAAGGTAAACTTTCAAAACAAATTTCTAACCTCAATCACGGGTTTTCAAACCCTTTATAAAGGGTTTTAATTTTGTTTTCATTTGATGCAAAAAGTAAATAGTTGTAGAAACGCAGTGTTTTCTTTTAATTAATAAATATATAGACACATAAGTAAAACAATCACACATTATTTACCAAACCGCTATTATTTATGTTCATCAATGAGCCCGACGACGCGCCGGCGCGTCGCTGCAATCAACACGGTGATTGTAGGCCTAGTTGCGGCGCTTAACTGTTGGGTGGAAGTTGATCTGTGTCTGCCGCATTCGCTGTGATTTGTATAGTTTTTGTTTTATTCTGACATATAAAATTAAGCTTGCTATGAGTAAAGAAAAGAAGGCTTAAATTTTGAATGTAATTAAATCGTATAAGGACATTTTGTTAGGAACGTTTTCAAGTACCCTAACCTATGTTTTCAAATATTCGAATGCATAAGAATATTTCGGTTAAAAACCATTCTGTGATATTCTAATTTTGAGTCTACAAACCATGAATAATAAGCCTAAACGTTTATTGATGTAACAAATAATTGCAACGCCGTTACAAGCAATGGAGAAGTAGGTTTTCAAGTATAGTAAAACATGGCATACGCGCTATTGCAGGGCGTAGCTCAGAGGAAGAGTTTTCGCTTCTCATGTGGTCGGTCCTTGGTTCAAATCCGCACCACTCACTATACTTTAGTTACATTAATTAAACTTTTACATGTTTTACATTTAAATAACAGCTCTAATCAAAATTTAATTTTGTATTACTTTGAATAACAAATTCAGAATACCAAAATGGATTAAAAGTAATTTTTTAATGATAAACAGTTCAGTCCAACGCCCAAAAATCAAATATAGGCATACAAAATGGTTAGTACATCACAGGGTTTTAGCTATTTAGGGAAACAAATAATGAGCACCTAAAAAAATACAATGCAACCCCTCTTTAAAATTGTCTTACTATTATTTCCTATTAAAATGTCTTTAAATAAAACCGAGAGCCTTGGGTGTAAAATAATCTGATTAATGTTGCAATGTTGGATACATTTTTGTACATCTTTGTATGCAATACGATATGCTGTTTTAATTTGATTTCTCTCAAAGCTTAAAAATCTTTTCTCTGTGATAGCTAAATAGTTGATATAACCATGAAATTTAACTCAAGTAAAATTAGACTAAAATTTCACAGAAATTGATAACTTATAATTATAATTAATTCTAATAGGGCGATTGTACATACATTATAAAATTCAATTTCACTCTTTTTGTACTACGCTACATTTATTGATTGTAATTTATATCTAATAATAATTATCATTTTAGCACTCATGGATATATTTTTATCTTAAATTGCAAACGTGAGCCAATTCGCACTTGCAAAAAGAACCTAATAATTCATTTTTTTAAATGATGTGAGTAATGAAATAACTCTCTTTCCAAAAATACTAGTCTACTTCAAATAATACGGGTGTAGAGAGGTTGTTAGAAAATGGCAAGTATTTACCAGTGTAATTTACAAGAGTAAAACTTTATGAAACACATTGCTGTCTACACTAGTAAAAACCACTAGTAATACTAGTCCCTACACTAGTAACTAGTATTTTACACTAGTAGGTTTTTGAAACGTAGACTTGTAAAATACACTAGTATTACTAGTCCATGGACTAGTAAATACTAGACTAGTAGTTTTATGAAACAGGGCCCGGGTGGTTTTTTTTCATTTTTTCTTAAAGTTAATTTTAATGGTGACTTTCTCATAAAATTGTGGTAAAACCGGATTTTCACAAAAGCGGCCAAAACGATTTTGAATAAAATGTATTGTGTTATTATTAGAAACAAAATGTGTTGTTGTTTTGTTTCATTATAAACAAAATGTTACAAACCCATTACTGTAAAAAGTATGGTTTGAAAATCATTCCTAACTTATAAGATTTTTCCATAAAAAGTAAAAACCTATAAAATGACTGAAATATCGGATGAAAACAAATTAATCCTATGTTAAATTGTTTACCTGCAGACTATAAGCACTTTCTATTTGTCTGAGTGGATTTTTCTTCAAATATTACCATAAACAAGAAATTTTTATCCCCCAATCAAATAACATTATAGGTACTTTAAATATGGAGTTACATGGACCATAACTTATGGTCCACAACAAAACACCAAAAAAACGGTACAGTAAAACAAAAATGGTACAGTATAACCTCCAATACTGTAAAAAGTATGGTACAACAGATATTGTAGCTTTTGTGATTGTAGCCATAAAATACAATTACTCCCATCGCTTGTTCATGATAAGGGTTTTTGACAAGTTGAAATAGGAGAAAGTGTGTGCAAGATTGATGGATGTACCGTTTATTTTACACAATTTTATAAAGGAAAAGAAAATGTTAGTTGAGTTTGATATTTATTTTTTTAACTTCAAATTCCATTCATCTTTCTGGCTGCAGTAGAATGGTCCAACAGGTACTTCTAGCCAAATGGGTAAGTTTACATTCCAAGGGAATATACAGGACTCTGAAAATCTCATGAAGGGCAATTGGTCAATTTGCAGGTACCTACAAAATACAACAGCGGCTGACAATATCTTATAACTGCACAGCATATTCTAACCAAGAAGCAATACAATTTTCTGTTAGGATAAGGATGGTATGTGTGATCTCTTATCAAAACATTTACGTTTTAGACCCAACCGTGCTTTGTCTTAAGTTTGGGGTTTCTTATAGCCCTTCCAAACTAAATCTAGTTTTTACCAAAAATATTGCCAGCTATGGGAATAGGAATATCATTTTTGGAGATGTGTCTAATGTAGGTATGTCTGAAGAATACCTAACATGTTCATAACCAATCAACGTTTGTTTTGTATTTCTCTAAGGAAAATTTTTGAGCTAGCATCTGATATTTTCAAATGGGTTTTATTTTATGACATGTCCGCCGCACATGTGGCATTCACTGAGCAGAACCGAACTGCACAGAATCAGACCAACACAAATAGTCCATCTCTTGTCAAATATTCGACCCTCAGTAAATGATGCGTGGAAAAACTAAAAAGCAGCATTGTTAAAAAAAATCAAAATTTATAAAAAAAGGTTTTTATTAAAAATTTGGAATTTCACAGCTGAATTTTCAAAAGACAAGGAGTCTTAGGCCCAATCTATTAGTTTATCTAATCTCTTTGGTCACTGTGCATATTTCCAAGCTGCATGTACACTTGACAAAATATGTTTACCAGAAAAAGGATATTCCATTGATGTGGACATCTCAACAAATATTCCAAGGGCAATGGTAGAGGTGACACCAAGTGCAATTTTCGTTTTCCATAAATCTTTGCTCCGAGAGCGCGTTTTTTTTTTTAGTTTAGAAAACGCAATCGTTTGTGTGTTGGAACCCTTAGTAGGCATTAACTAAAGTGACTTGACGCTTGGCACTATAAATAATGTAATACAGAGTTTTAGTCATTAAAATTTTTATTTTTAGTGCAAAAGAGTATAATATTCCTCAAGGCCTGCAAGTAAGTGTTTACAGTAAGAGCATGATAATTTAATGCAGAAGAAAAACGACCTTTAAAACGACCTCCTGCAGCATTGGTTTAGCATTAGCGCGCAGGTCGTTTTCTAAGCGGCCGAACTATAGTACATCTACCACACTACCAGAAACAAAAAACAGGGTAATTAAAACACAACCCATATCTATAATACCGTTTAATATACACTATCTGGACACAAGATTTTAACAGAGTTTCGATTATTTGTATAAAACATAAAGTTTTTCTAATGTTTAGTGTCAGTGTGAAACGAGCCTGCCCAAACCTAATGTTAATTTTTGTTGTGTAGTTTTGATGGAGACATCTGAAATAACGCTTTTTATGCCGTTTTGACAGAGTGAAACAGTATTATTAAGTGGAAATTTGTTATTTTTAAGAGAGTGATCGGTAAATTTACAGAATTCCAACAGATTTTACCAAAATCCTCCTTAGTTCCCCTGGAGATAGACCTACTCTTTTAACATTTGTGTACCTATACCACATATTATACAATTCTATCATCCTACTTTAAGTACAATACACATTTTAACCACTAAAGCACACCAACTCAAGTCAACATCAAGTACATAAACTAAAACCTTTACATATGTAATTCACAAGGAAATTAATTGAACTAAACATATTTTCACTTAACGAGAAGTGACAATCAGTTTAACTAAAACTCCTTGATGATTTTTCATGACAAAATGCACAATCATATGTTTAAAACTCAGCGCTTCAGTAATAATTGCTTTGTTATAGGCTTATTTCTATTGATAAATTTAACTGACTTCACCAAGACTGACACTTTCCACATCTCTTAACTACCATTATAAAACCGAACAAAAAACAAATTTTTGAAAATGCTTTTAAATTTCTTAATTGTACACATTTATTCCAAAGAGAACAAGAGCTAAATAGATATTGATCACAAACCACTCTTATTACTAGCTTAAAATCTAAAATGATTATGGTTAGAGACAACCATAAATTAACTAAAAAAAACTATGAACACTTATAGATGATTAAAATCTATGATTTCGAAACTTGGTATCCTTTTAGGATCATTCATATTAAAAATTTGTGTTTGGTTTTCCATAGCATAGCCTAAATGCCTTAATTTGTACGGCTGTACTGATTGTGATCATCTTAATCAACTCTTGCCATTACTAAGCCGTATTAGTTTAACGATTTTTTGCATCCAGAATCTTTACATAGGCATTGAATTTTGTCCTCCTCGATTTTCATCTTATAGTCAAAAGTAATTTCCTCGCCCACTTTAATATCTCTTTTAGAAAAGAAAACAATTTTCTTTTTGTTTTCGATTGCTAAAATCTTAACATAACTATTAGGGTTACAGCTGTGGTTGATGTATCGGTTAATGTTTCCATATTTTGTCGCATCGATTACTGTGTTATCATCAACAGCGAAGCAGTAATATCCGAGTCCAGCTTTCTTGTACTCTTTTTCTCTTAGATCTGCTATGACAGGTCTTATGACTTGTCCAACATATTCTATGATGAATTCATTAGCATTAATCGGTTCTGCAGCAAACACACCTAATCCGTGAATCTCACTCTTTTCTACACTTAATTTTTTTTTACGAAATTTAAGTTCGTTCAATTTAAGTAAATTACTGTTTGTAATGTTTTGGTATGCTGTAGACAGTCTTCTCTGGTTGTTTCTGGCTTCTCTAGACATTGTTTGCTTAGTAACTTTATATTTTTTACAATAAGAAAATTCTGTGCTAGTAACTGCTGGTTCTGCTTTTTGATGTCTATACTTGGCTTGCATTTTGGAATGTTTTTTAACCCCTTTCACATATTTTTCAGATCTAGCACATCCACTTCTGTTCACTGGGTTATGACCAGTATCTTCAGGGGATACAGAGGTGCCAAGGGCATTGTCTGTGGTGGGTGGATGAGGAATCCATTCTAGCTGCTCAGTCCAGTCACTCTCTCCATCATCCAACAACTGATTAAAGCTTTTCTTCAGGTACATTCTATCTTCTTCATCAAGACCATGTAGCAGAATATCACTGAACAGTTTTTCTTTGCTGTGATCGTGCAAAGGAAGAGAATGTTGAGGATTGCCAAGATTTTGATCCCTGCAAGGTGATTTAGGGTGATGGTTGCCACTATCAAAGTGATAATGTTGTGCACTCAAAGTACAATTGAGCACATGAGAATTATCACGTAAAGGGGTTTTCAATAGTCGACTCTTCCAAGTGTAATTGTTTATAGCACTTTTAACTTGGAAAATGTTTGGGACTTGTTTTTTAAGCTCTTCTACATTGTCTTTGACCAGGGTAAAAGGGAAAATTGAACCACAAGTAGCTTCACTAAACATTTCCGCAAGTTTTTTTCTTTTCAAAACTAGATGTTTTCAGCCTGCAATAAAAAAATATAATCAGTAACAAAAAAAAAAAAAAAACAAAAAAACATTAAAGCAGGACTGAAGGGTAAATAAACATGAATTTCTGATCAATGATAATAACAATTTAGTTCATTTAATCAACTAACAATCTAGAGGTGGGAGGTACCGGTACCTAATGTTTTATAGAATCAGCCTATTAACTTGATAAATGACCCTAATTAAATGTCTTGTTGACCCATTCATTACCCGCTCAGTACTATGCTGATGCTTACCCTGCTGTTTGGGTAGTGAATAATTACGGACCCATCAGATAAAAACATTTTAAATTTGTGATCTCTTCATTGAATTTGCTCCCAGACCCACCACTGGATTTTGACCCTTAGGTTGGGAACTGCTGCTCTAGGCTAATGGGTTAATCACAATAATGAGACGAATGCCCCCACCAAATTCCCAACCTGCAATCTAAGCAATTTCCATTTTCCTGTTTGGATACTTACTAATGCAAGCCCTTCTAATGATCTCATTATTGCAAAGTACATTAATCAGGGAATCATTCACAACAACATGCATAGGCCTACTCAAAAGTGTACCTTCCTATATTCTTAATTTCCTATTGTATATTTCCGTCCGATTTTGTTTTGGGTAATTTTTCTAGCTACGAGAAGTTATCATGCTGGGCAACAAGTGTGACGGGGAGGCAGAATCCAGGCAACTATTCAGGGATCATACCAATAGGTAGTACACTGATAGATTTTAAATAAGACAGCTGTGGTGGGAGTAATTAAACCTAGAACCAGATACCAGGAGCCACTGGGTCATTCTCCCAGAAAATATCAGGGTGAAGTTTGGGCCGTCGAGAGGTGTGCTCAGATTAACCTGAGTAATAGGTATTAGGAGAGGAACATTTTAATCCTATCAGATATCCAAGCAGATATTGGAGTTTTCAGCTTCTATGATGTTATGGAACTTTCGTTTAGAGTCTACAATTGCTAGGATAAAGTTACAGATTGCCCCCCTTTGGGTTTCTGGACACCAATGGGTGGTAGTTAATGAGGAGACAGATAAGCTTGTGAGAGGAAAAGCAGCTACTTCTTTTGTGGGACCAGAACCAGGCTGTGAAATGGAAATTGTCTTCTTTAAAAAAAGCTTAAGGAGGAAGATATGGTAACAAGATCAAGAGTTTGGACTGTGACAGGGCGTAGACAAGCCGAGGGGTTATTTGGGAACCAAGCAGATCCGACCCATGATCAGACTAAACATAAATAAATTATTTAAGGATGGATGCTGATATGCTTTTTAACTGGACATTGCAGATTAAAATGATTGAGAAAATGGGTACCGGTATTGTATAAAAGGATAAACATTGATTCTACCAATCAGGGGAAGAAATCGTCCGCAAGAAAGCCAAAAGCCTGGGGCTATAGCCAGATAGGAATTAGGGATATTCCTCTGTTAAAACCCGACAAGACACTGAATTTCACAAAGAAATTAGGGCTAGAGGGGCTGCTTTGGATAAGACTAACTTATTACTGGTACACAAGTTTAGGAACACAATAGATCTTTTAGGTCACAGTGTGATCCCTCCGTATAAACATCAGTAGCGAGAAACTCCATTGAAAAGGTGTTCGATTAATTACTCACCTTCAAATCAGAGGGTGTAATATTCTTTCCTGATTTTGATACCAGAGCTAGAGGATAGTAGTTGTAAATAAATGAGTTTTTGAAAAATAGCTGTGGATCACTTTTGGAAATGTCTTTGACCAATGTCCAGAAACGCCTCCCACTAACTTCACTTCGTTTACAAGAAAATCCTTTTACAAGTCTTGATGGATGTTGGTGTTGAGGAGGAACTATTTCTCCGTTTAATTTCAACCAGTCTCTTACTACAGCCACTTCTCCAAATGGAATCTGCAAAGCAAAATTATTATTACAAAGCAAATACCTTCAACCAATAAGCATACAAATTTAAGTAGGGCCTAAGACATTTTTTCACAAAATAATGATTTTAGGTTAAAAAACTTATGTATTTTGTATTAGCTATATGGTGCTATGTTAACAAAAAAGTACCAACAGGTTTTTTATATACAAAACCTTCATGTTTAAAAAACTGCCAAAAAAAAAAACTAATTGCATTTAAATATTTAAAACAAAATATGCACGTCTAAAATATTATTTTACATAATCTACCATATCTTATGAAGACAGAAAACAAATTGAAATTGTATTGTTTTTAACTTACATTGTAAATAAACAACATATAAAATACCATATGGGAAGGCACAGTATACAGAGTAATAAGGAATAGGAACATTAAATTTGTAAATCATACTATATAAATCAATGAATATAATTTTTTACATTTCAATTAAAGTACTGTGGGACCGTTTGTAGTTAATCGGGTTTAATAGTTAAAATTAAACAATATTGTAAACAAAGATTTTAAAAGTTAATTTACAAAAAACATTTTTATGACAAACCATAGACAGACATTTGATTGCAAAAATAATAACAACTCTGTAATGTAAAAGCATTTAAGTAAAGTAAATGCAATTAAACAAAAATAAGATACATTTTTATGGTCTCGCTTAAGTTTAAGTGCTACACGCACCAAATTTTTCTCCCCTCTAGTCAAACGGATTTTTCACTTTTCGATACTACTTTTAAAGAAATTAAGATTCTGCCTGTTTTTTTCTTTGGTTTTTAGAATACGGTAATAGTTTTATACCAATTAAAACCCCCAGGTGTAATTAGTTTACCTGGAATGCCTGAGTACCTCAGGGATTAAGTTTTTGTAGGAGAGGGCTAAGTAAAATAGTCGGGGTTTGATCGTAACTATTTTCTCCTATATCGAGTTATCTTCAGTGTAATCTTTGCTCTTTTCTTTTGTTACTGTGTTTTGTAATTTGCTAGTATACTGTAGATGGCTTGTTATAAACACATGTGAGTGGTGACAACTCTTTTGTTTACTTTCCCCTTGTTATTTTGTTCAACCAACACGGTTACTTAGCAACCCATAAGGCCAATGTTAAATTTTAAAATGAGTTGTTTAGCGAAATTTTCCTGATGTAGTGGCTATCACCAATCACGTTTTTAGGGCTATAAGTTCCTAATTCCAAAGTTTCCTTCCGCTGGATTTCGAGATATAAGTTATATTACAGAATGACAGACAGACATAGCTCGTATTAGAGAATAGGATAAAACCATTTTAACGCACTGTCGGTTGCACCTATTTTTTAACACAACCGGTCGCACTATTCTTTCAGATACATTTTTCCTAAACATTTTTTAAGTACTTTAGACATTTCCCCCCTAATTTTTATTTTACTTTATAAGGGTGTCACAAAAAAGTGTGATGGGCTATAAAGGACCTAATTCTACATGCAAAAATAAGTCAAAAATGAAGAATACATTTTTTTGGATCTCGGCTTAGTTTAGCCGTAATCCGCCATTTTGTTTTTTGGGGAAAATATTTATTATTTAAAAATCTCTTTGAAATATTTTTACGAAACGTGGCAAAATTGTTTACACCAAAGTAAATAACATTTATTAAAAAAAAAATATTTTTTTAACTTTCCAAATTTCAAAATGGCGTCTATTTGAATTTTTTGATGCCAAATTTCATGAAAACTGGTATCTAAATCAAAATTTTGCAGGACATAAAAGTTTTGGTATTTATTATGACAAATCCAACAATACAAAAATGGTTCATAAATAAAGAAGCTGCGTTTATTTTAGTAGTTTAGACTGAAATTACCCATTACATTTAATAAATTTTAATATTAATAATTTCAGTCTAAATTACTAAAATAAACACAGCTTCTTTATTTATGAACCAATTTTATTCATTTTTGTTTTGTTGGATTTGACAGAATAAATACCAAAACATTTATGTCCTGTAAAGTTTTGATTTAGGTACCGGTTTTCATGAAATTTGGCATTAAAAAATTCAAATGGCCGCCATTTTGAAATTTGGAAAGTCAAAAAAATATTTTGTTTATAAATGTTGCTCACTTTAGTGTAAACAATTTTGCCAAGTTTCGTAAAAATATTTCAAAGAGATTTTTAAATCTATAATTATTTAATACGCAAGCAGGATTTTTGTGACAATTACTCCTCCGAAACTACTGAACCGATTTACATGTTTTTTGTGTCATTGGAAAGAGTGTTACGTGAAGTTGTGCAAGAAACTTTCTTTTTAGGTAAATAATTAGAGAGTGAGGCCCTGGGGCCCTTTAAAGTTTCGTATTTCTCCATAAGATTAACATGGGAAACAAACATTGTTTTGAAACTCCCCCAGAAATTAAATGTTAATAGTTGGTCTCCATGGAAGCATGAGAAAATTCACAATGTTTACATTTGCTTTGACATTTAAATGTAAACAACCAAAACTGTCAAATACTTATTTCACAATTTCAGACAGCTGATAAAAAAAAATAAAACAACTATGTGGTAGGTTTATTTAATCATAAACTTTATGATAGATTATTTATTTTAAATCTATTTCAATGATTATGAAACAGATTGTTCCTGTTGTGAAGCAAAAATTAAAAGTGAGAAGAAGAACATACCTATGTTAATTGTAAACAGTCAATGTGTAAATTATCTATGATGTATTAAAAATGTGTATAGTTTTGGATGTTGGTTTGTGTTTAATTATACAGGGTGTCCCGGAACTCTCTACCAATATTTTAGGGCATTGTTCCTGGGTAAGAAACATATCTAAATATCATATTTAAACTGTCCGGAAGTCCTTAGTTACTCAGATAGCCGCCATTTTGTTTTTTTCACTTAATAATTTCTTTCTGAAAATTGGTTAAACATACGAAGTTGAAACTTTGCACAAACATTTATGACAACTAGACAAAGCTACAAAAAAATTATGACGATTTTACAAATTCATAAAACAAAATGGCGGCTGCTTAAGGTTTTGTTTCTTAAATTACTCGAAAACCGTTGATTTTACAAAGATTTTATAAGAATAACTTTTTAAAGTCAATTTTATTACAAATCGATCGACACCTTAATCTTTAAGATCGGACGAGCATTAACTGAGATATGGCAGTTTTAGTGATATGTGACGGCTTTCAGCATGCGGTCACGTATCACTAAAACTGCCATATCTCAGTTAATGCTCGTCCGATCTTAAAGATTAAGGTGTCAATCGATTTGTAATAAAATTGCCTTAAAAAAGTTATTCTAGTAAAATTTATGTAAAATCAAAGGTTTAGGAGTAATTTAAGAAACAAAACTTTAAACAGCCGCCATTTTGTTTTATGAATTTGAAAAATCGTCGTAATTTTTTTGTAGCTTTGGCTAGTTGTCATAAATGTTTGTGCAAAGTTTAAACCTCGAATGTTCAGCCAATTTTCAGAAAAAAATTAATAAGTGAAAAAAACAAAATGGCGGCTATCTGAGTAACTAAGGACTTCCGGACAATTTAAATATGATATTTAAATATGTTTCTTACCCAGGAACAATGCCCTAAAATATTGGTAGAGAGTTCCGGGACACCCTGTATAAGTTATTAATTATTGAATTTTTATTTTAAGGATTTGGCATATGAGTATGCCTATGATAAGTAACACCATTTCAGAGTTCTGCCAGTTTTTGCCTAACTCTGTTCTGTAGAGTTTAAAGTAGCCTACACCTTATTGTCTACAAATTGGCTAAATAACTTAGGTACGGTACATTATAAAAACTGACAGCCTTTTTACGATGACTTAAATTGTAAGCTTATCTTTTCCCGTCGATGGGCAGTTTGATTGTTAATAATTAACCCTTTAAACTGGAATAGGACTGTTATGTAAATTGTGAGTATTTCCGTTAGTTAATAATCTTTTAGTCGACTCTTTTAAAATCATCGGAAATTAAGACTGTTTTTAGTTTTAAAACAAGTCATTATTTGTTTATAAATAACTCCTGTACTTATTTGCTTGATTTCGAGCAACATGTACACTAGTAATAAATATTTTCCCTAAAAAACAAAATGGTGGATTACGGCTAAACTAAGCCGAAATCCAAAAAAATGTATTCTTCATTTTTGACTTATTTTTGCATGTAGAATTAGGTCCTGTATAGCCCATCACACTTTTTTGTGACACCCTATAACAACTCTTGACCTATAGATTCCATATATATTTCACATCGTCTAAGCATTTCTCAATTAGTAAAAAAAGTAGTCCGATTATGATGATTCGTAAGCCCATTCAAATAAACGCATGTAAGTTTATACAGGTTTGTACTAAATTTAATCAAAATCGGATATCTTTTGCTCCAGTTATCATGCTAGCGGACAATAAAAATGGAAAATTGGCTATAATTCCCTATATGGGAAATTAATTCCTAGTATCGTGATGTTTTTAGTTTGAAATTAGCATTTTTGAGGGTCGATGACCAAAACACTAGCGACTATAGTTCGGCCGCTAATGCTAACCAATGCTAGAGGTCGCTATCTAAGTGGACGAACTATAGTATCTTTACAAACAGAGGGTTATTTTGCAATGTGTGGGTGGATTAAGCACGAGTCATTTAGCGAATTTCCCTATAGGGAAGTAGCTAATACCATGGTTGGCACGGTAAGACCTAGGCCCGGGACCGATTTCCCCAGAGGCCAAAAACACTGTTCCTTCAAAATGCTATATGTGTCCGTCAACGCGATCACTTGAGTAATTTTTTGGCATGATGGTGTAGTGTGGGATAGGTAAACTTGAATGAGTTTGCGAACCAGCATTATTGGACCATAGGTGTTTTATGGAGTAAAAATTTGTTTTTCCCATTTTCAATCCTCAAAATATAACATATTCTAATTTCTCTCTTAACTATTTTAAAGATCTTAAAAACCAAATATTGAAGTGTTTTTATACGGTTATTGGTTACGTATAAAATTCAAAAAGATGTTAACTTAATATTATTAATCTATTTATATAAAGCTCAAATACCACTGACTCACTCATCACGAAATCTCAGAAACCATAAGACCTAGGAACCTGAAACTTGGCAGGCATCTTCCTTTTGGGTAGTAGACGCTCACTAAGAAAGGATTTTACCCTCCGACCTCTGGGCTCCGCCCCAGTGGCTCTGGAGTTTCCCATGTTAACCTTATGAGTACTCATATTTAAATGGAATTAATTAATCTTAACAGCTGTTTCAATTAAACAAGTTGGTTCTGTTCTATGATGATCGATAGCATTAAAGTTACAAGTATTACCAACAGGGTGCAGCACTATTATTTCTTTTACATTTATGACAACAGCTAATTTGCAACCAAAAGGTGAGTGAGTGTAGGGAACGAACTTCATTCTGGAGGCGAGTTAGCGTAGCGAACGAGCTAACCTGAAGGCAAGTGAGCACAGCGAAAGAGCTCTAACCTAAAAGTGAGTGAGCGTAGCGAACGAACTTCAACCAGGACGTCAGGACGTGATTGAGCCATGCGAACGAGATCATCTTGAAAATTAAGAAGTTAAATGGGGCAAAGCCCGCGGATTACAGCTAGTATTTAATATTAAGGGTAATAAGTAAACTGTTGAAGTTTGTTTGTTTATGCATATAGGTAGTTTGATCAAACTTGGCAAATAAATTTATTTTATACTAAGCTCCCTGTGGCAGCAAACCTAGGTACTCGTTAAACCTTAAGTTGTTTTAATAAATAAGTGAAAATCAAATCAGGAAAATGGAAATTTGCTTAGTCTGTAGGTTTGCTGCGGCGGGGGTGTTAATTGAAATTAAATGAAATATTTATTTATCAAACAGAACTAACGGTTTATTTCAAATTACATTTATTTACTAATATTACTTTATATTACATTTTCTTTCATTGTAAGCCCAGTCCACACGCTCACATTTGTTTGGGAAAATGTCTGCACAAACCTGATGTGCTAAGTAAGTGTGTGGACTGCAGATTTTAACAAAATTTAGGTAGGCCTATCCGAAAATGTTGGAGACAACAAATGAAGTTTGAGCAAAATCTGTTAAATGTCTGCAACAGTCGCACATCTTATGCCTAAAGTTTGAGCGTGTAAACGCTCTTTTAACATTTGCAAACATCTATGCAAGCATCTCGAACGATTTTACTTTGTCAGTCTGTGGTTTCCTCATTCTTCAGGGTATGTATTGGCTGTTCAGGTGACAGCCAATAGATAAAGGCAGGCTCCAGAAAGAATTTTTCTCGGAGTTAATTGGAACTTTATAATAGTTTATAGGCTACTTTATAATAGCCGTATTTAGGGAAATCCAAAGAGTAGGTACAGTTACTGCGGTAAAAAAACCTTGCTTATGACGGGTTACTAAACAACACCAAAAAAATTAATGAGGGGACTTAGGAAAGACACTGTTAAAAAAAGTAATTCAATTTTGACCATCAAGAACGTCGAATTGCTTGTTTCCTTTTTAATTTACTGCGGTGCTTTTTAACAACCAAGATAGCAGACATTGGCCAGCAAAACTTCCTCCGTGACGGCAAAGACGAACTGAAAGTTGACATGAGCCTCCTGATGTGAGGCTAGAACTGCGTGTTTAGACTGTCTCTGATTGCACACGTCTTATCACACATCAGTCAGGATTGTGCACACATTTGCGCAAACAAATGTGACCGTGTGGACCGGGCTTAAATAAGTTAGGCCTAGTAATTTAATTTTAAAAAAAAACTCAGAAGTTAATTTAATAAAGATGAGTGACACTGTTTGTTATAAAAATATTCATTAACTGAATTTGTCTCCAGTAAGTTACATCTACATTAACATTGACATGCCTTTAACTTATTAACTTAAACGCATTTTAAATTTAGTTTTAAATTAAGTTATGTCACCATTGCAACTGAAGTTTCTTGTCCCCGTGTTTAGGACAGGCCAACAGCTAGTAGGTAGGCCTATTCATAGAAATATTTTTTGTTTCTAATTAAGATAGTAGACTACGTCATGAATGTTCCAAAAGAACATCAACTAACTATCTAGGATAGGCCTATTATTTGGTGAGCAAGACTCAATATAAAGATTGGCTATTAAGTTAAATCTATAAACGAAGCTTGTCTTACCCCAGTTTGAACCATACCCCAAGGTCCGGGGTTTATTCCCATAAACAACAACTTTTTGGGGTTATTCGCATAAGCATACAGAAATTTCAAATGATTATCCTTTGCGTAGTCAAGGGGGTTATAGACAAATTCAATGTCTAGATGCAAATTTTTACTTAGTTCTTCACTAGAAAGTAGCAAAGACAAATCGTGTTGGATACCAAATAATTTATTTGAGAAATCCATTTGATATTTTGTTTTGGATTGACTGTGTTGGTCATACATGTAAATTAAGTTAAATAGATAAGTTAACTAAGTTAGGCTAAATTACCAATTAAAAGAAAAGGCAAGAAAGAATCAACTATATGTTTACTACAATAAAAAGCCTGAGCCCATTCCTAAGGATAAGTCTAACCTATCTTTCTCTTGTTTTCTTCTTTGGATGGAACTTGCCTAAAATGTAAGTTGAGTTAACTCAATTCCCTGTTTACGATTTAGGTAAAATTATAGTAACAATAGAATCCATCAAATCAATTTACAGCCAAGTAGTCTAGGGAATTGAATTATAACTATTGAAAACATACACTTCACTTCACAAAAATTTTCCTGTTTTAAAATTGTATTTTAAATAAGGACTAGGCCTAAATAATAATAAATAAACCTTTCACTTTCCGACTTCCGTCCGTATCGAGTAAAACGAGTAAGAACTAAGAAGAAAATATAAACAAACGATGAAACGAAACTAAACAGATTTTTTCCCCTTCGTCCACTTCCACTAAGTGGGGCTAGCGTTTGTACTCTACCATGAAGCTGAATATAAAATTCTGACTTTTAAGTCTGGACTTGTAACTCAATGTATGCATGCATACCGTCCACCGCGCAGTCGATTTGTGGCCACACGTGTTTTTTTTTATAATTATAAAAATGCGTTTGATTGAGTGTTACTGTTATTCGTTTCGTATTTATTGACTTTTTGACGACCTCTTCGGAGTAATTCCACGTCTATTCTTCGCCTGAGGATGACGCCATTGATAGGTTGAAACCGGTCGCCTTTCATCGGTGACATGATCCACGGCCACCTTTAACTACAGGCTGCGGCATGGCAGAATTGGCAACGTCGCAAGTGGTGTTGTTTAGTGACAGACGGCCCACAAGATAACATGGCAAACGGGTGACATCAGCTCATTAATTCACCCTTTATTGATTTAAATTTAAATTTATGAGCATAAATTTATTAAATTATTGAAAATAAAAACATGCAGGATTGAAAACCGAAACAATATGAATTAAAAATCTATATCTGTACATTTTAAGCGGAGTCAATATTGTCATAGTCCAGTAACCAATCTTTCGTAAATAGGTACACAAATACCATTAGCTGCTTCCGAACAAAACAGCTGTTATAACACCACTTGCGACGTTGCCACTTCGAAGGCCGTGGCCTGAAGTTATAAAGGCGGCCGTGCATGATCACATTGTTTTAACCTCTAGTATCAAAAAAACTTCCTAAAATAGCTCATGCATTGGCTATCAAATAATAATGCTAGAATAAGTTAACTCCCATCATTGACTATATATACCTATAGTCAATGCTACCATCTAACGGTATGCTGAAGTTAATTTAGTATTACGTCAATAGTTTATTAACATCCATGTTTTAGCCTCTGGGCTGTGATATAATTAAAAATAGGTTTTATCTATGGTTTTACCTTCGTTTTAATCAGTTGTAACTTGCGTTACGGTAACGACCGTTGGACCGTTTCGCCATTAACATGCCATCAGGTATCAGATATCTTCAGCTGAATCAGCGTAGTTACAACAGAAACACCTAACAGGAACACATTTTGCAATTACGAAAATATCTACGAAATAAAAATTAATTGTATTTCATTTACAAAACATACATTCAATACTCGCAGTCTGTTTCTGCTACAATCATCCACAAAATCATTGATAATGGTTGTACTAGATTTAACACACAATGATTTGTATCAATATTTTTATTTTTATTCCATTATTTTACCAATGCAAAAGTATACAATATTTATATTTAAGCATTTTCTTATGATTTTTTTAAAATCTAGTACTTATTTAAATTTCACAAAATACAGAAAGAGTAGCATGTAAGCAAACGTGTGGATGGAGTGGAGTTGTGTCGAGTGTTCAAATTGATAGAACTATCCAAAGTTTCGTTGTTGTTGGAAGCCTTGCACTCCTCTTGGCTGAGAACCTCCAAGCTGACCTCCAAAACCTCCAGGTTGTCTTCCCCCAAAACTGTTGAATCCTCCAGGCGATCCTCCGAACCCACTTCTGAGTCCTCCAAATCCGCCAAACGGTCTTCCAAATCCGCCAAAGGGTCCCCCAAATCCTCCAAAGGGTCCACCAGATCCTCCCCCCAGTCCAAATATTCCTTGGCCTAAACCTCCTCTACCAAATAGACTCCCAAAACCTCCAGGAAATCCCCCGCCGAAGGGACTCCCAAAGCCTCCCTGGAACCCTCTAAATCCTCCAAAGCCACTTCCCACCGAACCAGGTAATCCTGCTTGTGGTCCATTTAGTTGACCAGATGCTGAGCTTCCAGGACCTTGGAACTGAGCGTCCACAACACTGTACAGGAGGAAGAGTGCCTGCAAAATGAAGTTTTGATTACACAATTGCACAGTAATTGTACTTAATGTAGGGTTTTAAACGTTGAAATCAATTCAATTATAGTTATATTATAGAAACATTGTCAAATTTCAAACGAGTTTTTTAATTTTTTACCACATTTTTCGTTTTTTGCCTGATAGTTTTGCTCAAGGCTATTAATAAATCTTCTGATATATTCGGAATGGTTACCAACATTGTTGTAGATGTAGGACGTAGGATACTTCTCTAAGAGGATAAGTGAGCCTGTCATGTTTAGCAATGTAAAATAACTTAACTACGAACACACTGCAACCATAAAATTTCCTTGAATACTGGGACATAACAAGCGTGCACATTGTTAAGTAAATCTGGCAATCATGATATGCGAGTATTATATATAGTGTATAATAAAAAGTGAAATTGTATCGCACCCATTTCATTGGAAACTATAATAGTGGTACAATAATTGTCCTGTGGCGGGGTAGGGGAAAGCTTATTATTAGTGTTGACGGGCAAAAACAAACACTTAGATTTTTTTGGGGTCGATGCAGAAAATTTCATTAAATTAGCAAAAGTTATTCCATTTAAAATCATAAATAATTAACCATTAAACTAATTTGATATTTCTGTAATAGATGCCACGAATTTACTACTAATTGGTTAATTAAGAAAATTCAATTTTACTGACGTTACATTTTAAATTTCAAAAGTCTTTGTAATGTAGATAAACTTCAATAGTACGGTATCCATGTTTTGGTAGTACATTTTAACTTAAGTAAATTAGCACTCTGTATTAGGCAGGCTTAAACATTTGATCACAATTTTTAGTTTTGTTTTATCAAATTACGTTATTTAACATGTTTTTTTTATGGAAGTACTAGCTGACCCGGCGAACTTCGTATCGCCTAAGTTATAGGTTTCCCCTAAGACAGACCGATGGAAAGAAAGTACCGTTACGTTTAATTTTCAAGATGATCTCGTTCGCATCGCTCAATCACGTCCTGGTTGAAGTTCGTTCGCTACGCTCACTCACCTTTGGGTTGGAGCTCGTTCGCTGCGCTCACTTGCCTTCAGGTTAGCTCGTTCGCTACGCTAACTCGCCTCCAGGTTGAAGTTCGTTCGCTGAGCTCACTCACCTTTGGGTTGGAGCTCGTTCGCTACGCTCACTCACCTTTAGGTTGGAGCTCGTTCGCTGCGCTCACTTGCCTTCAGGTTAGCTCGTTCGCTACGCTAACTCGCCTCCAGGTTGAAGTTCGTTCGCTACGCTCACTCACCTTTTGGTTGCAAATTAGCTGTTGTCATAAATGTAAAAGAAATAATAGTGCTGCACCCTGTTGGTAATCCTTGTAACTTTAATGCTATTGAACATCATAGAACAGAACCAACTTGTTTAATTGAAACAGCTGTTAAGATTCATTAATTCCATTTCTCATAAGGTTAACATGGGAAACTCCAGAGCCACTGGGGCGGAGCCCTTTTAAGAATTTCGAAACGGGAAATAGTTTACGTCCGATTCGCATACCTACAGAATTTACACACCAAATTTCATAACGATCGGTGAAGTCGTTCCGGAGGAGTTTGCAGACAAACACTGTGACACGAGAATTTTATATATTAGATCATTATTCATCGGAACAACAATTTCTTTAGTTCCTCGTGTATGAGAAAAATAATTTTCTAGGGAATATTTGTTTTTGAACTCGTATGAAATCAGATTGGCTGGGTAGTTGAGTGGTTAAAGTGCTTGCCTAGCAATCATTAGGTCACCGGTTCGATCCCGAGAAAAGTCAGTAGTTTTTTATGGTTCGAAACTGGACCCAGCTGTTCTTGACCATTGTACTCTAAATAAATGACCCTGAGTGATCAAACAGCTGATCTTAGTCACTAGTCAGTAAACTATTGATTTGGAACTATTGACTATTGGATTTGATGGATACTATGTAGTTGTATCAAGAGCCAAAGATTCTTCACTCATAATTGGGTTTGAATACGCACCTCGTTGACGTCCCCATCTCAATTGATAATTGATAATGAATCCTGAACAAAGCAACAAGGGCTTTGCTTAGTCTTTAGGTTTGCCGCAACGAGTAGTCAGATTCGTGAAATAATAATAATTAATTGACTGCTAGACTGCTATACTATTTAACAGAGTCGATGTATGTCCAAAATACTGTACTTGAAGGAACAGCTGAGTCTATTTTAGGCGAGATAAAACATCTTTATTGGTACAGTAAAATTGTATTGAGTACATAGATTATAATGCTGAGCTATATAATTTCGTAGCAGCAAGAATTTCATCTCTTAAATCTCAAAAGGCATATTTTATTATTAGCTTATGTTGGTGAATGAATGAGTAAACCCCTTGACAAAAATAAAGTTTTCGTCTCTGCAATAGACAAACGACAAATAATTTCGGCATGGTTGTGTTGTAGGCACATGACAAAATAATACACTCACAGTATTCTAGCTAATAATTTGCAATGTAATAAGAAAGGCAAGACAATGTAGTTAATAAAAACGCAAAAATGCAACTAGGCCAAAAAAACAAGCACTGCACTCCCCGAATCTTTGATTATTTAAGAAAACGTTAAGTCGTGCAAAAATACATGTGTGCTAATATTGTATATGTTTTTACCTGAGTCAAAAGTAATATTTTAAACAAAAAAATTAACAAATTGTCAATGGTCAAAATACAACTAGGGATAAAATTATGTTGGAAAGAATGTGACTAACTTACTTTTCTATTTTGGTCATTGATTACTGTTAATTTTCTATTGTTATGTGAGGCTGATATATGCAATGTGACGTTACTATTTTTATTGGGGTTACCCATAGGAATAAACTAATTGTCATAACTTACACCAGAGTACCAATAAAACCAATTACACCACAACAACCAACCTAAACACGAGTTGTCTTTCTGACTAACTAATGCAACAAAACTAATATAATAAACATGCAGTCCTGAATTTTCAATCGTTAAGAAATATTTGGCCAAAACACCATACTATGTATGTATTAATTTCAAAGTATATGCCTATCGTCAGTGCAAGTGTGAATACAAATGTTGTCTACACAAAAATAATATATATTTTTTAAATCAGGAACAATAATGCTCGTAATAATGAGGACTTACCCAGATCATGATTTCTGTAGAAATAGCAGCCGCTGTAGACAGAAGTTTATTTAAACTTGAGAGTTAATGTGAGAAAGTGAGATGGTGTAAACCCATTAGAGATTAGAGAACATTGCGATATACCTCAACAGAACTCAAGATTGCGAGCGTATGAGCTTACAGATGTGCTAATTTTGGTTTTACAATCCTTTTCTTTGCCAAAACAAATTTTGTGCCTATAAAATTGTAATTTTAGGCTCAGAATTGTAATTAGGCGATAAAATAGCATAATTTCCCCGTTTGCATGCAAGACAGTCGCAAGTAAAACGCATTATGGCAATTTAGTGTGAGTTACATAAAGTAACTTCAAACATATAACGTTTTAAGTTAAATATATTCGGCATACAACGAGTTGTTTAAGATAACAACACTTCTCGTTTACAAGGAAAAAACTGGAAAAAAACTCCAATAGGTACTGTAATATCTAAAATAATTCCGACATTGTATGTCCAATACAACTTGTACAACGATTCAATACAACGAGTTGATGACGATTGACTGTTAGTCTATACTATACAATACAGTACTCATATTTTAGTGGTCAATCCAAACCTTAAGTTACTCCTTGTGTATAAATCATCAGCTAGATAAACTTTGTAAAAAGTATTAAAGTATTGATTATACAAAATCCAAATAAAAAAGAATCGTATAAATTAATAATATAAATTGTCTATTCAATACAATTGTGTTCTTCCATTGACTATATAACACTAGTAGTGTTATATAGTCAATGGTTCTACATTTTACCTCTTTTAATATCCAAACGCTGATAAATATTTTAATAGTTTTAATAATAGAAGTAGACATTTCAAAATCTTCTAGCTGAGAAACTGATAAAAAGTTCGCATCATAGTTAACATAAGTACCCAAAGCGGGTCTTTTTGTAAAGAAAATTCTCTTTTGAAAGTTAGCATGTGACTGTTACACATGCCCGTTGATAAGTTATTTGATATTCATCTCGAGTTTGTCTTCAAAGTAAAGTAAAGAAAGTACTATAAGATGACTGTAACTTTTCACGGAGTAACTTTTAATCAATATTTCAGAGTAAATGGTATAATTTAATAAATATATTTAGGTCTCAAGCTTCACTCATAATTGCAAAATTAATACTTTAATACTTTCCTATTAAATTGTGACCATTCGTTGCACATTTTGTCCACGACAGTTAACAATTAGATTGTTTGTGCGAGCAGTAATGTACCTGTTAGTTGCAGTATGCATAATGGAGTACGCCTCAACGACAGTGCAACTAACTGCCTAGGCAGCCATCAACATCCATAATAACGCCAACGACAACAGATTTGCTATTTTCAGATACTTATTATTCATAAATGAATTATACATAATGAAAGCTGTTGATTACAAAATAGTTAAATATGACTGGAATGATGAGTGATAGTTAGCATTTATACCTTTTCATAAAAAAAGAAAATACTACCATTTACTGTATTTCATTATTTTAGTAAGGTGTAATTCTTAGCGAATTTCGCTATAGGGAAGTAGCTATTACCGTATGTCTCATGGTAAGACCTAGGCCCGGGACCGATTTACTTTTTCATTGTGATGTCCCCGGAGGCCAAAAACACCATTCGTTCAAATTTTTATATATGTATATGTATCTATATATAGATATATTTATATGTGTCCATCCGCACGATAACTTGAGTAATTCTTGTCCGATTTTGATAAAATTTGGTTTGATGGTGTTTAAGGCGGGATAAACTTGAATGAGTTCGCGAACAGCATGATCGGACCATGGGAATGGGGTTTAATGGGGGGTTTTATGGGGTAAAAATGGGGTTTTCTAATTTTTTACCATTAAAACACACAATTTATCAATTTTTCTATAGACATTTTTAAAGAGCTTAAAAAACAAATAATTTAGTATATCAAAGTGTTTTTGTACAATAATTGGTTACGGAGAAAAATTAAAAACAATTTTAATTTAAAATTTCCATGTTCTTATAGAGAATATTATAATATGTTGTAGTTGACTTGTTTATGGATAAATTTTGATCAAACTTGGCGTTTTCACTTATTTCATACTATATTTATCATACTTATTATATATTGATATTTTAATAAAAAACACACTTTATTAGTTTCCCTGTAGCAGCTAACCTAGGTACTCGTTAAACATAAATGTTAATTTAATATATAAGATAATTAAAAATCGATCCAGGCAAATGGAAATTCGCTAAGTTGGCAGGTTTGCTGCAGCAACCTGCATATTTTTTTATTATTAATATTTAATATAATTAATATTTAGTTTATTATTCAAGCCTATGTTATTTATTCTTCTGTTTTACAATTCACAAAAATATTCTCAATGTATTATCTCGTGTGTTTTAGTCTATCAAATAAAGAATTTACTTACAACGTATAAAACTCATGAAGTATATCCGCCTCTAAAAGCTTTTTACCCTAAACTTCCATGTGACGAAAGTTCACCAGAGAACTCATACAAATTGGTACTTACTTTTACGAACAGTTCATTTATTATGGTAAGATACTGAGAAGATTGTATTGATTATTTGTATAATACGAGTATATCAGTCAAACCGGTAGCCTAAGTCTTTTCTATAAAATGCAAGTAAAAAGTGATCTTAATAATTTCACATGATTATCATAATTTCTCATGCAGTTACATGTTTTGCAGTTACAGTTGATATGTGGTCAGTAATGTTAGGTAGTATTTTTATTTGAGTCAATTGATGAAACGTCATGATAGTGGGGTTAAGGGACGCGTCACACACTATGGATTGAAAGTAAAATAAACGTAATGGATAATGGAGTACTTAATTGTCTTTGGAGTTGGGACCAACCGACGTTGTCTTGCCTACCTTGTACCATAACACTATAGTGTTATATATTCAATGCTTGTACCCAGGGGTTGACTAGCTCCTTTATGGAGGGGGGCAATTTCCTATACTTGTGAAATATCGGAGTCTGAGCTGACGAAAATATTAAATAAACTAGTTATTTTTTCAACGAGTGCAGCAAAGGCACTTTGCACTCGCGTTACATTATGTTTTTCTTCAGTTACTATAAAGCATATAAATTAAATAGTCTTTCACACACTATACAACACATTTTTAGGTTAGGTTAAATCAAAGTTAAACGAAACGGGGAAACGCTGCACCAGCTGATCGTAGTCGTGTTGTCAACTTATTTTCAAGTGTACAAGTATTACGTGCCTAATGAAAGCACACTGTTTTGTATTGTTTTTTTCAGTATACTGGCGTGCATCAAAAAATAGTGCGACAAAAGTAAGTAAATGCAGCAATTAACTACTTTGCGTGCTTTAATTTATGAAAGGAAGCCCACTTTGTTAAGTAACTGTAGGAAAAGTATTAATTGATATAGTAACTCCTGTGCAGTTTATTAACAGGTTCGACATAGTTATGTTGCCTCTTTGCCTCTTAAAAAAAGATTTTTCTTAACAAGATAAGGCCTATCTTCCAGATTTGATTATTGACCTTCCTATCCTGGATAGGAACCATGCATTGGCGTTTACCAAGTATGTAATCCTATAGTTATTCTAACATGATAATCCATGATATCCATATAGTAACTTGTAGCCTGCAACTAGGCATATGGGCAAATTAACCAAATATTGTTTAAGGCAAGCAGCAAAAAAAATCTGTGATATCAGCACCATTAAAAGTATATATCGTCAATTTAATTCAATGTAGTCATGATAACATAATTGTATTTGCAGTAGTAGTGCATTATACTGTATATCATAATACGCATTTGAAAACAAGTATGGACATACATAAAATCCAACATAACAATGAATTTGTATAAACTATGAATTATCAATTCCACTGGAGTCTTGCGTTGAGAAGTTTGTATACGAGTTATCTTGCCTTAGTGCACCCTAGAGCGACAAACTCTAAAGCTCACTTACTGACTACGACTACGTTACAGTCTCACAAGATAATGTTGAACAGTTTGTAGACGAGTCATCTTACCTGAGTGCGCCCTAGAGCGACAAACTCCATATTGCTCACTTACTGACTACGCCTACATTACAGTCTCACAAGATAATGTTGAACAGTTTGTAGACGAGTTATCTTACCTGAGTGCGCCCTAGAGCGACAAACTCCATATTGCTCACTTACTGACTACGACTACATTACAGTCTCACAAGATAATGTTGAACAGTTTGTAGACGAGTTATCTTACCTTAGTGCACCCTAGAGCGACAAACTCCATATTGCTCAGTTACTGACTACGCCTACATTACAGTCTCACAAGATAATGTTGAACAGTTTGTAGACGAGTAATCCTTACCTGAGTGCGCCCTAGAGCGACAAACTCCATATTGCTCACTTACTGACTACGACTACATTACAGTCTCACAAGATAATGTTAAACAGTCTGTAGAAGAGTTATCCTTACCTAAATGCGCCCTAGAGCGACAAACTCTATATTGCTCAGTTACTGACTACGACTACATTACAGTCTCACAAGACAATGTTCAACAGTTTGGAGAAGAGTAAACCTTACCTGAGTGCACCCTAGAGCGACAAACTCTATATTGCTCACTTACTGACTACGACTACATTACAGTCTCACAAGATAATGTTCAACAGTTTGTAGACGAGTAATCCTTACCTGAGTTCGCCCTAGAGTGACAAACTCTATATTGGTCACATACTGACTACGACTACATTACAGTCTCACAAGATAATGTTCAACAGTTTGTAGACGAGTAATCCTTACCTGAGTGCACCCTAGAGCGACAAACTCTATATTGCTCACTTACTGACTACGACTACATTACAGTCTCATAAGATAATGTTCAACAGTTTGTAGACGAGTAATCCTTACCTGAGTTCGCCCTAGAGTGACAAACTCTATATTGCTCACTTACTGACTACGACTACATTACAGTCTCACAAGACAATGTTCAACAGTTTGTAGATGAGTAATCCTTACCTGAGTGCGCCCTAGAGTGACAAACTCTATATTGCTCACTTACTGGCTACGACTACATTACAGTCTCA